TTCCAGCCTGTGCATATTTTTTGTATTTTATTTCTCAACATAAAAGAGTAAAAAGGTATTTTTTAAAATAAATGTGGTGGCCCTTTTGGTGGGTTTTTAGCTGCGTTTTTTCCATTTGTTAATGCAGTGATATATGAGATATAATGACATATAAACCACTTGGGCAAGATACCATAAAAATATGGTATTATTTCTTTGCAAGCTCCACACTGGGCAGGAAAAAAGCCCTTTGGGACTCTCTGGGACATGCAAGGGCTGCCAGCACACCCCTCGTGTTGTTCTGAAGTGTTTTCCTTGCTGTCCCGTTCCTCCCCAGGGATTAAAGCTTTGTGCTGATGTGCAGTGGTACTGGAGTTCTCCCCACCCAGGAGCCCAGTGGCTGTGCTGGTGTTACTGGGAAGTGACTGGGAGTGTGAAGGTTCCCCCCAAGGTCACAGCGGGAGCAGCAGCAGAGCTCCTGAGTCACGGTCATGTGTCGGAGCTGCAGGTCCAGTTCTCCTCCTCGTGTGTAACTCCATAAATATAGACCCAGCCAGCCTCTTCCCTGAGTCAGGAGAGGGCTCAGGAATCGGGATTAACCCCTTCCCACACCACCCCAGCCTCAGGAGGGGACACTGTTCTGCCTGGAGGTGGAAGAGTTTTGTTCCCAAAAAAATTTTCCAGAGGCAGAGCTGCGTGACTCAGCTTTTGTGAGGCTGGTGTGTGTACTTTGCCTGTTTATTCCCAGGACAGGCAGTCCCGAGGGAGTCATGTTACGCAGCAGGCTCAGTGTTTATTAACCAGCTCGGGGACTGAGCTAAGAATAACTTTTTTTCAGTTGTTTTGTTGATAGTGATTATTTTTTTCTTGCTTAGCACAGCAGCACCCGAGGTGGAAACAGCCCAGAGAGAGGGTTTTCCCAGCAAGTTGTGGGAATATTAAACTCTCAGCTATTATCACCTTCCTCCCCCCGCCACCAGCCACAGCTGAAATACAAAATCAGGGAAGGGAGAGCTTGAAGGGAAGCAAATAGCTGTGTGTCCAAGTGGAGCAGCTCAGCAGCACTTCTGTGAACTCCAGGGATTCAGTCCAGCCTTTAGATGCTTCAGAACCAACACTTGCTGCAGAGTGGTGCTTCCTTCCCTGCCTTCCTCTCCCCAGGGGTTTATTTAGGGGATTTTTGGAGCGTTTCCTTGCTGATCTCTTCATCCCCTCACTCCATCCTCAGCATTCCAGCCCTGGAGCCCTGTATTGCCACGTGACTGCACGTGACCACCTTACTTTCTGTTCCTGTTTAGCTGCTTGGCACAGACAAAGTCCCTTGGACAGATGAATAGATGCAATGCTTTAATCAGCTGACAGGGCTGAAAAGCCGCAGAAGGCTGTGATTTATTCTCTTGGATCTTTGATAATTTATTTAGGCTCCCACAGTCTTATATGTGAAGTTAATACCTGCAGAAATTTATAAACCACTTTTCCCCCTCCCTTTTATTCCCCCCTGTTACGTTTCTAACACAAATACCAGTTAAGGCAAAACCTCGCTATGGTTTGAAACGTGCTGGGCAGAAGTGTTTGTTGTTGTGCAATAGTTGTAAAACATGTTTATTTAGGTGATGTTTGTGGTCTGCAGTGGAGTTTGTGTTGCACTTGTTCCTTAGGGCAGAGTTGTGACCTCGCACCCACAGCGGTCACTTGTCCACAGCCACCTTGTTTGGTGACACCTTAATAGCAGAAACCCTTCAGTGGCCACAACTTAAGCCTTTATGTGGCTTTTTTCTTTATTTTTAACTTAATGCTCTGTTTATTCTGGTAGGGTTTAAACACTAGGGGAAGTGTAACACCGGGCTGTGTCATCCTGTCAGCCCCCAGTGTCAGAAGTGACGTGTCACCAGTGAGGGGGTGCTGTTGGCACTGTGTCCAAATGCCTGGTTTATGGCCTTGCTGCTGAACTCAAAGCTTTTTAGGCTCAGTGATAACTGTGCTTCCTTTCTTTCACATTTCCTTTGGCTTGGGTGATTAAAAAACCCCTGGGGCTGTTTTGGAGGTGGGATTTTGGGCCAGCATTAATACTTGAGTTTGGCTTTGGGAGTTAGATGACTTAGGCTTTGCTCTGTCAGATGCAATTTAAGCCTGAAGAAAGCATGTTTTCATGACCCTGAAGGCAGGGGAGAATAGTAGATATTCCCTTCTTGTTGCTGAGGTGCTGTGGGAGCAGCAGTTTGGGATGAGGTCTCACCTCTTGACACACACAGCTGGAGGCACAAGGAGCTCCCATTCAGCTGATCCATTTATTGATATTATCTATTCATAATATTTCCTGTCACCCACCTTGTGTGCTCACTGCTGGCTGGTGGAAGAGATACAAGAGGGAGTAGATTTAAATTGGAAGAGGGCAGGATTAGGTTGGATATTGGGAAGAAATCCCTCCCTGGGAGGGTGGGCAGGCCCTGGCACAGGGTGCCCAGAGAAGCTGTGGCTGCCCCATCCCTGGCAGTGTCCAAGGCCAGGTTGGACGGGGCTTGGAGCAACCTGGGCTGGTGGAAGGTGTCCCTGCCCATGGCAGGGGTGGGATGAGTTGAGCTTTAAGGCCCCTCCCAACCCAACCCATTTTAGGATTCTGTGACACAAAGAGCAGCATCAGGACCCTGTGCAAGGTGCGTGGACTGACAGCAATCCACTGATCCTCCAAGGAGAGAGGCCCTAATCTCACATTGGGCAGAGATCCCAGAAGCACAAAGTCAGCAGCAGGATCCTACAAATGCAGGACAACTTCTAGAGGCTGTGGATGAAAAGACACTGGAGCTCCCTGTGCCTTGTCCTTCTGCACCACTGGTACATCCTTTGTAGGCATCGACACCTCCAGCTCCAGCACAGTCAAACCTGGCAAATAAAAGGGGGAAATAGTTGATGTTGCATCTGACATCTCAAAAATAAAAAAGCATTAGAAGACTTCTTTCAAATTAGTTGTTAGCATGAATTAGTTTTTGGCAGTGGTAAGGACGGAGGGAAGGGCTGGCTGGAGAGGATCCGATCAGCTGAGCTCCTGGAGAGGAGGGACAGGGAAAACCTGCCCTGCTCACCTGTCAGAGGCTGTGCAGGGGCTGATCAAAGCTTTTAATTGCTCCTGAGCCAGAGTCTGTGCTGCTGTGTTGGTATAAACCACTACAGAATAACATTCTCTGGGTAAATACCCTGCCCAGTGTGTTTGGTGTCCTCACAGCACAGATCTGGTGGTGTACTTGGAGACTTGCATTTTTATCTTCATTTTGACCCACAAAACAATCAGGGAGTCAGGTAGAAAACAACAGAAGGTCCTGCTTGGTTAGTTTGGGTGGTAATAACAGTGTCCTCACATCTCTATGGAGTTGTGTGTAAGTTTTACTCTTTAAAAAGCAGTTTGAGTGCGGTCCCAAAGAAGGAATAGGAGGTGTTGCAGCAGTTGGTGTTTAGGATGAGATCTTTTTGGACTGCACTCAGTCCCCTCATCCCCTGTGCCACATTTTTTATTTGTTTTTGTTTTATTTTTCCTTCTTTTTTTTCCCGAGGCTGGGAAGTTCCTGGTCAGATTGTTTCTAAACTGTATTTTCATTTACTTTGTGTTACATTTTGATCGTTGGGGATTAGTTGGGGGTTTTATGTCTAGGGATGGAAAAGAAGGAAAAAAAGACTTAACAGTCTGTCCCCTGTGCTGGGCATGGCCAGGGCAGCTCCAGCCCCGGGGGCACCGCTGGGACCCTCCGGCCAAGGAGGACCCGGAGGGGCTGGAGCGTGTACAGGGAAGGGAACGGAGCTGGGAAGGGGCTGGAGCAGCAGGAGCAGCTGAGGGAGCTGGGGGGACTCAACCTGGAGAAAAGGAGGCTCAGGGGGGACCTTCTGGCTCTGCAACTCCCTGACAGGAGGGGGGAGCTGGGGGGGTCGGGCTCTGCTCCCAGGGAACAAGGGACAGGAGGAGAGGGAACGGCCTTGAGTTCAGGTTGGATATTAGGGAAGATTCCTTCATGGAAAGAGTGATCAGGCACTGGCACAGGTTGCCCAGGGCAGTGGTGGAGTTACCATCCCTGGAGGTGTTAAATACGTGTGGATGTGGCCTTTGGGGACATGTTTAGTGGTGGCCTTGGCAGTGCTGGGGAAGGGTTGGACTCGAAGATCTTGGAGGGCTTTTCCAACCTTAATGATTCTGTGATTCTTGAAAGCAAACACTGTCTCAGGCTGCTGGCTGGGTGTTGTGCCACTACAATAATAACTGTTTAAAAAAATAATATAGGAAGTTCTAATGTTTTTGTTCAAAAAGAAAGAGGAAAAAGGCGCTCTGAAAAGTTATTTCCAAATGTCTCATTAAAAGGCGTCATCAGCAGAACTCCACAGCCCCAGTTTATTGTTACCCTGGGCAAGCAACACTGGGGAGAGCATCTGGTGGCATAAATTGTTACAGCCCATGGAAATGGGTGGAACTAGGAAAAATTTGCAGAGCCCATGATGTGCCTGTAGCCATGGCCTGCCTTCCATCTGGGATGATTTCAGGCCATTCACTGCACTGGAAATGCTTTAATGGCTTCTGGTGAATCCACTCGAGGTTGTTTCTCACTTTTGCCTGGTTTTGGAGGATTTACTGGCCCTCTCTGCAGTTCATGCTTTCCTTGACAGCCAGCTCAGAGGAGGATTTTGGCAATCCTGTGTATGTGGCCGGGGGTTTGGACACGCAGGGTTTAGTGTTGGGTTGATGTTTCTCTTTGCTTGTTTTTTGCTGCGGTGCTTGGGGAGCTCACTTAACAAATAGTAGTAGACTCTGAGTGACATAGTAATGAGTAAGTAACTGGTACTTCCTTAACAGTAGTAAGCTACTACTGTGAGAGATAACATTGAAAACTTAGTTGGGTCCTTGTTGAAGGTTTTTCCATTGCGATCTTGTCGTCTTTATCTCCATGTCAATCACTCTGTGTGATAACATGTTCCATTCTTATCTTTGGGGATGAATCATTGAATACACTCATTTTATATTGATTTTTCTTGTTCCCTGGCAGGCTCCTTACCCCTCAGGACAGAATGCAGCTCCAACCACATTGGTGTACCCTCAAGCCCCTCAAACAATGAACACCCAGCCTCAGACCCGCTCGCCGGTAAGGAGCCCACGGCAGCGTTTCCTCCTGTTCTTTCTTCCTCGTTGGTGTGTTTCTCTGTCTGTGTGTGTCTGTAGCACATGGTTGGTTCTCTGAAAAGCCCATTTTACTGACCTGGAAGCACATTCCGAATGACAAACCTTGCCTGAGTTTTTCAGACACTGTCCTGGTAGGGTAATTTTCCTTCTAAAGTGGCTAAAGAAGCGATGGAGGGATTCTCATCTACTTCAAATAACATAATTTATTTTTAGCCTAGTTGCTTTCAGGTTCACTTCATTGTAGAGTTCAGGTTCATTCCCAGAATCTTTCTCTTTTCTTCTTTTTTTTTCTTTTTCTTTTTTCTTTAGGGAAGTGTTTTGTGCAGGGATAGACCAGAGATCAAACACCAGCGGTTCTCTGCAGCAGCACTCAGTGTCCAGTGGCTCTGGGCATTGCTCCCAAATCAGTGCTACTGATCAAGTCTAACCCTGGAGGTTCTCACATGTGACCTAGAGCTTCTGTGTACTCAGGTCTTTTTGTGCTGAGCCCCTTTTTCATCCAACTTTAGGTCTGATTGTCCTCCATAGTCTATTTTTTTGAGGTGTGTGTTTATTGTGAGACCGCTCTGCTGTTGTAGGACTTTGGTTCCCCAAGCCAGGCTCTTTCTGGGGAATCTCTGTTCATAGTACAGCTCCACATGATGTTAGGAGACCCTCCTAGGGCAGCAGAGGCTTAGCCCAGCTTCTGGAGGCATGGTGGCTTCCCATCACCACGTCCCGAGCCTCTGTCCCTGGAGGGAGCACAATCCCGTGTCCTGTGTCGTGACACCTTCGGGTCACTGCCCCCTGTTCCCTCCCCAGCATTCTTCTCTTCCTAGAGTAAGGCAAATGCTGCTGAAGCAAAGTGAAAGCCTCCAAGAAAGAGTAGTTTGTCCACAAAACAGGTATAAATAGTTGTACCCCTGGTGTGCAGCCACACCAATGTGCTGGCCCGGCTCCTGGAGGTTCCCCTCCAGGACAGTCAGTCCAGGAGGGTTTGTTCTGAGGCCCATGAACCTCTGTGCTGATAAATGAGCCAATTAACACCAATTTTAGAGTTCTGTGGTGTGGACAGCTGGGAATTTGTCCTTAGTGCCCCATTCTGATCAGTAATGCAGGACACAGCTGGTAAAACCTCTTTCCTCAGTAAGTATAATCACCTTTTTTCTTTAATTGTTGCAAAGCACAGCTAAATTGGTGTGGTTAGAACTGGAGCAAAAACCTGACTGAAGAGCTGCATCTCTAAACCAGTTTTTTTTGACAGCCCAGCAGAACAGTGCCAATACATTGCACAGACAACTGGAAGAGGAGGAAGGTTTTGGAACAGAGTCCGGTTTACAGGTCCCTGGCTGGAAGAGGCTGGATAAAATACTGCATTGTAAGCAATATAACAAACTGTACTCCTTCTTGCAGGCAATTGTGCCCATGGCACCGTTTTTATTTCTTCCTTTCTTTCTTTATTTTTATTTTTTACCACATCTTTTTGTTGGCTACAGAAATGCACTGATTTTGCTTCTTTGCTGAGAGCACGAGCTGCCGTGGCAGCCTCTGCCAGGTGAGGTGGTGACAAAGGTCCCAAGGTGACACAAGGGCCCAAACTGAGTTACAGCTGGGGGGGTGTGATCTGAGGTAGGACAGAGACCAGGGCCCCTTGGGGTTTGTCACTCCACAGAGAGCACCTGGAGGAAATTCGGCCAGAAAACACCAAATTGTAGGGGTTTGGCCCCGTTCCTGAGGAGATCTCGAGGAAGGATTTTTGTCTGCAGCCATCAGGCATTTTTTTCTATTTTTTTGAGCTCTCCTGTGTGCAGGTTTTGCCATCTGCTCTGCTGTGACCATCTCCACCTCATGACTAAAAGCTGCTCCCACCCATCACATCTCATTCCACCTCCCACCCCAAAGCAAATGCAAGACTGGCCCGGGCCTGAGCTACTCCTGCATTTTGTTCTAGGCTTGATTTATTTGTGTTTTTTTTAATTTAATTATTATTCTATTTTTATTTCTTTTTTAACCATCCTTTTTGGTGGTGAGGGCAGGGTGAGGAGGGGACGAGGAGGGTGGTTTTGCCATCCCTGGGCTCCCACAGCACAGCCCCGTGTGGGCCAGGATTGATCCCAGCCCCACTTCCTGGAGGGACTGGAGCTTCCTCCATCCCGTCCTGCATCTGAGGGCCGTTGGAATTGCAGAGCTCAGGCTTTGCTGCTCCTCCCAGGACAGCAGCCTTTGCAATCCAACTGGCTTCATGTTTGCTCCCCGCTCGCATCGCTCCCAGTAGCGGGAATGGCAAAGTGCAGCTCCAGCTGGGGAAGGAAAACGAAATCCAGGTCCTTCAGCACTGCTGAAAGTTATCTGTGCTCTCCTGGCCATTCCAGCCCTGAGCACCAGGGGATTTAAACACAAACTGTCCAATGCTAGGAGTTCTGCCCAAAAAAAGACGTGCTGGAGAGGGTGTTTGAGCGATCCAGGGGGGGTGTGAGGTGTGGGCCAACACCCCCAGGGAGAGAACATTCCCTGTGCCCACAGAGGACTGTAGGGAATGAGGGCGCAGGAAGGTTGGACCCAGGATTTATAAAGTTTTCCTGTCTACTGTCTTCATCAAACAGAGAAAAAACAACCCCAAGTGTGAATTTTAATCGGAGCCAGCAGTGACTACAGTTTGTTCTGTTGCTTACAGCTACTAATAGGAATAATTCCTATCAACCTGAATTATTTAAATAAAAAATCAAGAGCCAGTGGTGACCAGTGCAAAATAGATGAGGCATTTTTCACTAACTTGGAGCTTTTATTTAATTTCTTTATTTTTTTCTTATAACACATTACTTTCCACCACAGAGTATATTCCAGCTTCTTCAGATACAAACTTCCAGCTCCTGCCTTAAGCACAGTGAGAACAAATCTTCTCTGTGGAACAGGGATGGGAGAGGTGCTTTGGCCCTGAAGCGAAGCAGCACAAGGTTTTTGCACCCCATCATTCTCTTTTTGGGTAGTTTTTTTTCACTGGTGTGCAGCACAGAGTGTGTCACCCCATGGAAAGGCTCACCCCTTCCAGGGGTCCCTGAGTCCCTTGTCCCAAGGCATTTGAGCTGGTCTGGGGGAGTTCTTCAGGGAAATAGGGACTTGAAGTGCTTTTACCTCCTGAGACTCATCCAGGTGCCTGTTTCTCCTCATCCACAGAGCCACTGTCCTCTTCCCACCTGGAGCCTCAGGAGGATGCTGGGAGGCTCTGAGTGCTTCTCTTTTATTAAAATTAAAATTTAGCTTTTTAGTCTTACAAGGTGACCAGGCTTTGCTTTTTTATTCTTTAATCTAAAGCTTAGGGAAAATTTTCCAGGGTGAAAAAACTATTTGGTGAACCAGTGCAGGTCATTCTTTATAAACCCTCGTGCCAGAAACATGTGTGCATTCGAATTCACTCCTTTCTGAAGGGTTTTATGACTCTCCATCCAAGAGTCACCGTGAGGTGAAGGCAGAAGGAATATATAAACACCAGTATTAGCAGTTCTTGGAAATCTTAGATCTAGGCAATTAAAGTGTTTATAAAGGAAAAAAATCAGCTGGGCCAGTGGATATTTATACTTTGCTTCATGTTTGATGGCATTAAAATAGATGGAAGGGCTGCATGTGAACCCTGGCCCACTTTTCCTTTCAGAAAAACCCTCTTATTAAGAAAACCAATAATTAGTAGCCAGTTTTGATCACTGTTCCCAGGCAGAAATGAAACCACAATGAGTCCCTGAATGAGCAGAGATGGGCTGTACCATGTGTCTTAAGTCACTGAGCCATCATAGTAGAGGCACGTGGTGGGGAAAATCCACTCTGGATCACTAGTTTTGATTGTTCCAGTAATTATTGGAGCTCTTATCAATAGGCTTTCCTGCTCTCATCATGCTCATTGCACTGAGAATTAAAGGTTTCAACACCTAACTCAGCTCTGGAAGAAGACACCTTGTCATCTTTATTTATATTTTCCATTTCTTGCATTCATTTTTATTTCTATTTTAACAATCAATTCCTTATTGGGAAATGCTTTGAATGTTGACTGAGCATGTTCAACTGGGATTATTTTCCTCCGTGTTTAACCCAAGTGAGTGGGAAGTGACTCAGTAGCCTGAGCTCAGGGCTGGGAACCAGGACCTCCTGTTCTCCATCCAGACTCCACTGCAGATGTCCTTCAGTGGGGACACCATGGGATAACCTGGTCCTTGTCTTTCAGAGGGGGTGACCAATCCCACTCATTAAGGAGGGGGTTGTTGTGATCCTGAGGGAGAAAAACAAGCTGGAAATGAAGGAAAAGGGGGTGTATGTGCAAGGAATTGCTGCTCTTTACCCTGCAGGGATGTCCCACAGCCCCTGGCTGGCAGGTCACTACCTGTGCCTGGCTCTTCCCTGCTCCCCAGCCGTGAGTGTCCATCCTCAATCCCACAAATACCCGGAACGGCTGAGTCCAGCTGCTTTAACCATTTCCCTCCACTTTAAACAGTTTCCAAACCTCCACTGCTGCTTGTTTTAAGTTGTTTGGTTTTTGTTTTTTTTTTGGTTTTTTTTTGTTTGTTTGTTTGTTTTTGTTTTTTGGTTTCATGTTCTTTTCTCAGGCAGGGTAAGGAATGCCTGCATCCCTCCACTAGAGTGCCTGTAGGATCCTGGGAGCTGCTCCTTCCAGCCCCCATGTCCATCTGACACCTCGGTCCCTGTCTGTCGCTGTCCTGCAGCAAAGCTTTTGAGTGTGTCGTTGTTATTTTATTTTCTGTGGGTTTATTTTGCATAGACTGTGACATTTTGGTTCGTTGTGGTGTTTCTGACTCTTTGTGCCTTTCCTTTTGTGTTTGTTTCTCCCGCCTTTCCTCAGTTTGCAGCGGGGCCTCGACCTGCCCATCACCAGGTACAGTACCTGCCCCTTCGTTATCACCCTGCACTAATTGCCTGGGGGGGTTTGGGGGTGGAGGTGACTCACCTACTAACTCAGAGTGGAGGAAACCACCCCTTAGTAGCTACTAGCACCTGCATAACCCTCTAACGAGCTGCCTGCAACGCTGAGTAACACAACTCACAAGTGGGGTCACTGCTCCCGTGAACCACCCCCTCCTACAGGGAAGGAGAACCTGTAGGGATCCTTGCCAGGTGTTTGGGAGATTTTTTTTTTTTGCCTTCTCACATCACTAGAAACTTTTTCTGGGTATTTCCCAAACTGATCAGTGGATTAAGTTGCCTGAAGATGTCAACTGAGAGAATCCTGCTTTTCCAACTGGGAGCAAAGCAAACGACTTCCCAGTCACCACGTTTGCTGTGTGATACACCTGGTTACCTGTTACCATTGCACTGCTTAATGTCATTATTGCTTGGCCCATGAAGGCCAGACATGTGGGAATCTTTTAGTATTCCTGTAGCATGACTTGGACTTTGTAAAGAACCACTCCATTAATAAGAGTAAGGATTGGGAATAGCTCTGGCACCTGAAGCTCAGGGGTGGCAGAATTACCCTGTGGACCTCTCTGGTGTCAGGACAGACACACAGGTCCCTCTGTCCTAGTCAGGGTGTCTAAAATTATCCTTTCTATCAGCTCCCCCATTCATCTTTGCCAAAACTCTTTCCCCTGGGAAGTGATCTTGCTGCTTCTTGTAGCTTTGGAGGGGACAGAGGTGGTACTGTTGGGTGGGAAAGAGGAGCAGAGGCGTGACAAGAGCAGGAAAGTTCTCCCAGATTGGGTTGTTTCCATGACATTCTTGGCTTGGAAGGAGCAGGTTGTTTCCATCGAGTTAACAGGAAAAAAAATCCCATTAACTCCAGTGGTGTCAGGGCAGGGGCTCGAGCCAAGGAAGGTTTGTTCCAGGAGGGTCATTTTGTTCTTACTTTGCTCCTGTTACTGAGCAGTTAAATGTAGGGATGAGCACTGTGGGGATAGTTGTGTCTCAGGCGAGCAGGTGAGTGTTAGGTGGGCACAGACACCTGAAAAACATCATCATCCTTGTTCCTTCCACCTCAGGGAGCAGCGTGGGGGCCGTGGGAGCCATCCAGAGCAGGGCAAAAAAGGGCTGAAAGAGTAAAACGGGACATTTGCACTTGTTTGCTCACAGGCAAAGCTCATGGGAGAGAGAAAGGAGTGATTTCTGTGCATGGCTGGGATGGCTTGGCCAGGAGTGCTGGAGGAATGTTTGCAGGACAGCTGGGACACGAGGGGAATGCCAGGATTAGGATCTTGTTTAGATACTTCTGTTCTTGATCTTAACTTCAGGTCTGTGTTTACTGAAAATCCATCACTGCTCTGAAACTCCTCAGTTCTTTCATAGGTCGTTACTAAGGCACTGGATATATTCAGTGTGAGCCAGTTAATATTCCCCTAAAATGTCCTGAGCTCACTGGGAGCAGGTTTTTGCCCAGGAGTCTGGAGGCAGCACAGCCTTGGACAAAACACTTCAGCAGCCAGTGGCTTTACTGGTGGGACTCTGCCACCAGTCTGTCAGAATTTGATCTAAAACTTGCCTTTGAACCCCGTTCTGACTCTGCCTGCAGGTTAAAACTTGTAATTTCCGAGTGTTTTCCCAATTTTATCACAGATTTTTGACTCTGTTACATTTGAATCTGCTTATAATTATCTACAAGAAGCTGTCACCACTGGAAACACATTCCAGGCTTTATTCCCAGTTGCATCTGTCATGTGCTGGATCAGGACAGGCACAGAGAAACCCAGGCTCTAGATGTTTATTTCTTTTAATCCAAAACTCTCCACCCCTGGTGTGGATTGGGGGTGGACAGAGGGATTTTGGTTGCCACCAGTGCAGGAGGGTCACGGCTTCGTCCCAAACCCAACACTCAGAGGATGCTCAAAACCAACATTTAGCCATGTTTAAACTGTGTTATAACATAAACAGAGGGGTCCAGATTGAGATTTGTAACCTAAAATGTGCTCAGTAAGTAAATTGGCTGTAGCAGGGTTAATATTTGTTGCAACACCTCAAAATGCCCTTTGAAGGCAGAGGCAGCACTATTGTTGCAATTCCCCATGTCCATCCCAGGGGGATTTTATTAACATGTGCCTCCTATTGATTCTGGGTCTCTTTCAGGCAAATAATGGATTGTTCTTTAATGTTATTGCCTGAAATTATTAGCTCTTAAAGTACTCAAATTAGCATGATTTAAGCACCTGAAGTTGAACGGCAGCTTTATAGGCAGGTTTTTTTCCAGCTGGGAATTCCTGTCCTGTGTTGGATAGTTATAGTTGGTGGAGCCAGTTAATGCTGGAGAAAGTGTGATCACATTCTGTACAAGAGAAAATATTAGAGATTTAGGGTGTTACAGTAGAAGTGGATGAAGTGAAATGAAATAGCAGCAGGAGTTGTGATTAAAAGTTAAACATGTATCAGTTATCCTTGATTCCCAGATTACACACTGAGAATCTGCTGGAAAACTTCACTTTATAGGAGAAAAAACCCAGACCCTGCAAAGTGTTTTGGGCAGTATTTCTAATACACTGTCAGCTTGTGTTCTTCCTGAAATGGCCTCAGCTCCTCCCTGCCTGAGATTGCTGCTCCATTTCCCACTTTGTGCACGGAGCTTTCCTGGTTTTAATTCCTAACGGAGGCTCTGGAGGCACTTTGTTGCTTCTGATCCTCAAGAAGTTGAAAATAGCAGTTTTCTTCTAATCTGAGCTCCAAAACGCAGGTTTTTGTTACATTTGACTCTGCTTATAAAACCTTACATTTAAGAAGAGACTTGGGGAGCGTCTGGGTGACTTTAAAACTGGGTTCCAAGGTAATTAAAAACAGAAATCAGAAGTATAAACTCAAATGTCATCATTTGCTTTTTGACTTTTAACTGTATTTGAGCTGAGTTTGCTGCTCATGGCAGACTCATTTCACTTGGGGTTGCTGGTGGAGTTGGCTCCAGTTTTAGCTCAGGGTTACTTGAGTTCCTTTGGGTGGAACTTGTACAACAGAGAATGGGCTGGGCTGGGTGAAAAAGCTGTGGGATTTGGAGAGGTTGGGAATTCACTCCCTGAACTGACTCCACTGGCCATTTTGTAGCTTCTTGGGGTATTTTGAGTCAGAGGGTGATGGGAAGTGGCTGCCACAGTCCCTTCCCTGTCTGCATCCAGCATGTGGAGGAGCTGCCAGTTGTAAATCCCACAAAAAGGGCTTTTCCTCTCAGGTTCATAATTTAATAAATAATAAAGCTGGGAGAGTCTGAGGGGGGCAGACAAGGCTTGCCTTGTGCCCAGAGGGCTGCACTGAGGTGCTAGTGGCCACTGGGGAATGTGGACCTGGGGATTTGTGCTGCAGCTCCTGCTGCTGGCACAGGTAACAAGTGATGGGACAAGAGGAAACGGCCTCAAGATGTGCCAGGGGAGGTTCAGATTGAATGTTATGGAAAATTTCTTTATGGAAAGGATGGTCAGGCGTTGGAACAGGCTGTCCAAGGCAGTGGTGGAGTCACCAGCCCTGGAGGGATTTAAAAGCCACGTGGATGTGGCACTTGGGCACATGTTCAGTGGTGAACATGGCAGTGCTGGGGGAATGGTTGGACTTGATGATCTTGGAGGGCTTTTCCAACCCAAACAATTCCATGATTGTGTGATCTTGATGTCTCCAGGCTGCAGCTCCTCAGCTGAGCCCGGGGCCTGTGCTGAAGTTTGAAAGGTCAAATCCAACATCCATCCACAGGCAGATGGTTCCTGCTGCACTGCCTGTGCAGGCACCTCCTCCTCCCCCTCCCAGCCAGGCTCAGGTTATCCCACCTGGCACCAGAAAGACTAAAAATGAGTAACAGGGGTATGAGAAGCTTAACTGAAGTGCAGAGCTTGGGTGACAACTTGAACTCTCCTTTCTCTTCCTTTCTCCGCGACCTTCTGCAGGGCTCCGTGGACCCATCACAACATCCAGCCTTGGTCCAAACTAGGAAAAAAAATAGCTCAGTGCCCATGTTCCCTGGGCTGAGCTTGGCATAGGTTTGTTTTCAGTGCTCTTACCCCAAGTTTCTAGCTCAGTGCATTTTTTGGGGTCTGGAGGGAGCACTCACAGGCACTGGAAATACAGAGTGAATGGCAAATCATTGAAAAGGCAGTGGTGGGTGATCCCAGGGACTGGGCAATGTTTGATCATTGATTTTTCTACTTGACAACTTCTCATCAGAGGTGCCTTCAGCAGCCTCTGGACACATGGGAAGAAAATGAAGAAGATGATTATTAATAAACAGATATTGAGATGTGTATTTAAGCAGTGACTGAAGGGAATGGCAGGGAATTGTGCAGGGGTGGGCAGGAGGTTAGAAGGGGATTTCCGTGAAATTAATGTCAATTCCTGTGGCACAAACAGCAGATGTGTGTCTGCAGCAGTACAAAGGTGGAAAACCTGGTCAGCACGAGGATGCTGTGCATGAACAGGTGACATCCAGCTTGGCATGTAGTGCCAAGGAGAAGGGTTTATTCCATAGGGTGAGAGCTCCTTGGCTGAAACCACATCAGCAGTGCAGCCTCCAGATACACCACTGAAGTTATTTCCAGTTAAGGAGTTTTGGGAAGCACTGCAGAAACCCTGTCTGGAGCCTGTGTGCAGTTCTGCTTTTGGATTTGCCAGAGCTTCCTTGAGCAGGGAGGTGAAGGATGTGCTGGGCTGATGAGAGCTCATTAAACGAGCAGGCTGGAGGAGCCAGTGAAGGCAGTGTCAGAGGAGTTTGCTTCTGCTCCTCTGTGAGGGATCAGGGCAGCAACCCTGGGGGAAGTTAAAGACCATTGCCCAGTAGTACTGACTCCAAGGTGATCTAAGAACTCCCTCCCTCTCTGACTTGGACAGGTGAGGGATGGGACATGACTCGAGGACACAACCCAGGTGTGCACTGCTTGCTGAACAACCATAATTTGACCATCATCAGATGTAGCAGGGGCTTTATTTTTGAAGGCAGGAGTCAAGGAAGGGCTGGTGTAACAGAGAGTTTCTCTCAGAAGCCTTGCTGTGGTTCACCCTGGTCCTGAGGGGGTCCTGTGTGTGCTCCACTCCAAATCCTGCACTTCCTAGAAGAAATAGAGTCCAGACCTGTCAGATTTTCATGTCCTGGTGTTCTCCTCTGCAGCATCGTTAACGTTACCTGGAGGTGTCTGTGCAGGGCACTTGGACTGTGCAAGATGGATTTTTTGGCAGATCAAGTCAGAATAGCAAAACATTTCTAAGCATGAATATTGCTGGCTGAGCTCTGGAGGGACAGGGACGAGGATGGAGCATAAACCAGTTTGCCAGCCAGGTGATGGTGGTTTAGAACAGTCAACCCCCCCCACGGCTCAGATGCTCAGTGCTCCAGTACCCGATTTCCTTGAGAATCCTGGTTTTATACTGGAAGTGGAGTAGCTACAAGTCATTAAACTTTGTCAGACAGGTCTCAGCTTTGGTGCTTCCAAAAGCTTCTATCTTGTTTGGAATAACTGATCTGCTGTTCCTCTTTCTGGTCTGCCAGGAATGGAATTCTCCTTTTTTCTCCATCTCTGGAGCCAAGCTGGCTCTTCTCTGGTGTGGGCTGTGTAGGGGGCTCCTGAGAGGGTTTTTAACACAGTTTCCTTGTCAGAGATCCTCCTGCTGCTGTGGAACAGCCCAGCACTGCCCTGGGGGTGTTCAGTGCTTGTGGGAGAGCAGGGCTGTGCCTCACACCCCTATTTCAGAGCACAAGTCCCGTCCCTTCTGCTCCAGTGGGGAACAGACCCAGCTCGTGTCCCATGAGATGAAGCTTCCAGTGTGTCCCCCCAGCAGGACTCCCCTCATGAGCCTTTAGGGACCAGTTGCCAGTGATGGAAATCAGCAGCTTTCCATCCCCAGGGTGTTCCTGGTGCTGTGAGGTTTCCCTCAGGTTTCCGTTCGGTGGGAGCAGGTTCCGTAGGCACAGCAGGAACTTGAGGAGCAGGTTCAGGCTCACGTCTGGCTGGCACTGGTGGAGTCTCCCCATGGCTTCTCTTGTGCTGCCCTGTGGATGGAACTGCTGTTGACAGAGAGATGGATCTTGCTTCAGCCTCCAGCCCATTTTCACTCTGCAGAAACACAGCCCTGTGGGGGCTGTGGAATTTCCCACCACCTTGGTGAGACTTCTGCTGCCAGCAGGTTGTAAATAATCATCAGTCAGCGATTTGCAGTGGAATGAGAAAGACTTTTGCACATTTTTTGTGGTTTTGGATATTAAAAAATTGCAGACTCTGGTGATTCTCACCATAAATTCAGCACCTGCCCCTGGTTCCTGTGATACTTGGGTAGTTCCCCCCCATCTCACAGCCCCAGCGTGGCTGGAGCAGGACCATGGCAGGGTGATGCTCTTCTAGTTTTCTTTCTGCACCTTCATTCCAAACTTCTCTCCCCAAACTGTTGCCTTCTCCTGGTTCAGGTCGCAGTGTGCTGGGGACAGTTCTCCATCCAGATTAAGAGGGCTGGACATAAAATCATTGAGCTCCTCTTAACAGTGTCTGGATTTCTGAGATGGAGTCATCCATGGCTTTCCTGGAGAAATCATTTGCTGTGGGGAACAGTTCAACTGTTATAAAGTCTTCAGCAGCACCAGAATGACCACTGTAAGCTCATTGTCATGGCAAGGATAGAGGCATCACAGCTTCCTTCCATCCTCCCTCATCCTTCCCAAACCCAAGGTGGATAATCCCAGCTCATTCCTCAGTGGTCACCCCTCTCTTCTCTTCTCACCCCTTCTCACACAGTTGCTCCCAGACTGTTCCCATCACTGCACAGCAGCCACAGCAGGGTTTGGTGTGATGTGTGCTGGCCTAATTATTGTCATTATTTTTTTTCTAAGCGGTTAAAATATGTGGCATTTCTTACCCTCCCAGTCTTGGTGCAGAAATGGAGAGAAATCCACGCTCGGAGCCAGGATTTCTGCTTTATCTGCTCCCTCTGTATCACTGGAAGAGACCAGACAGGAGAAATATTTGATGTTTTAGGAACAGAGTAAACACAAAGCCTTTCTGTAGTGTCACGTCTCCTGCAGTCAGTCATGGTTTGGTTGTTTTTTTCCTTTTGTTTTTTAAACTTTTCTGGAGAAGTTTTGTATGGAGGTGTAAAAGTTTCTGACCTTGTGGGATCCTGAGAGTCCTCAGTACCACTTTTCCTGGCAGTTCGTGCAAGGGGTGAGAGCAGGGCAGGAGGTGACTGGAATTGTGTGAATTAGGGTGCATGTTGATCCTGTTCCTTCCTGTTGATCTGTAAGCTGTTCCATTGGCTTTCTTTCTGTTTCCTGCTGCTTTCTTGCTTCGTTATTGAAGGGAGGATTCAGACCTATACAGGTAACTCCAACTCCTGGTTCTGCATGGCATAAGTGTCTCACCTGTACCATTCCTCCGTCAGTGAATGCATTTCTTACCTCCTGACTGCCGAGATTCCAAGGCCTCTCCAGAGCCAGGCGTTCCAGCCCCGCGAATGCTCCGTCCCGGGGTTGCCGGTGCCTCTCCCGCGCGAGGGCCGAGGACGGAGCGTGTGCCAGGGGCTCGCTTGGTTCCCTGGACCTGGTCCATCCACCTGGGGCATCACTTCATCCCAACGTGGTAGAAGAGTTTGGTGCCACCCTGGGACGAGTTGCCACCCTTTGGAAAACAGGGCAGGATGAGTCACCTGGATCAATGAGTGTAAAGGAAAGGCATGAGGTGCCTCTGTCCATTGTGAAATTCCAGCCTTTTAGCTCTTCTGGAATAGTTACCTTGATCTTTTATTTCCCTGGAGTATTTATAAAGGTGGGTTTTTTAGCAGCCAACCCACCTTTTAAAAACAAAGGAGACAAACTCCTTTTTCTAACATTCGCTCTGAAAGTTGAGCTGTAAAATTTGATAGCTACAAAGTAATAATTATTAGTTTGTAACATTTCTTGCCTTTTTTTACCTTGTAAAATAGAAAACCCTGCTGTTCACAGATAAACCCAGACTGTCCTGCAGCTTTCTGAAGGCATGGCAACCCTTGGAAACTAGTCTTTTAATTATAATATTGTATTTCTAATCCTTTCCCAGAAAGTCTGACCGGTTCTTTGTTTTCTCTCCTCTCTCCCTTCCCTATCCTAGTTTTTTCAGAGGCCTCAGATCCAGCCTCCAAGAGCCACCATCCAGAACAGCAGCCCCTCCATCCGTCCCGGAGCACAGACCCCGACTGCCGTGTACCAAACCAACCAGCACATCATGATGGTGAACCACCTGCCAATGCCCTACCCGATGCCTCAGGGCCCCCAGTACTGTATCCCACAGGTAAATCCATCAGCCAGGCACCTGAGGAGCTGCAGAGCCACCTCTGCTCCATCTGGGCTGTGTGAGGACATGCCGGGAGTTGGTGGGAGGGGGGATGTGTCTGTGGAACCAAGCTGGTAGTTCTGTGTTTGGCCTCATGTGCCAAGGGGGGGTCTAGATTAGATATTAGGAAAAATTCCTTCATGGAAAGGGTGGGCAGGCACTGGAGCAGGCTGCCCTGGGCAGTGGTGGAGTCACTGTCCCTGGAGGTGTTCAAGAAACATGTGGATGTAGCACTTGAGGACATGGTTTAGTGGTGGCCCTGGCAGTACTGGGGGAACGTTGGACTTGGTGGTTTAGAGGCCTTTTCCAACCTTAGTGGTTCCATGATTCTGTGATTCTGTGGTTCAGCCTCTGTCCTTTCTCTGGATGAAGTATTTGTTCTGTGCATGGAAGCTGTAGGAGTCAAAACCAACGGGAAACCAAGCTCTCAGAAAATATTTGTGCTTTAAATGTATCTAATTTGACTTAATAGATCTACAGTCACTCTAAAACCTTGGGCCTCATTAAACAGTGTTAGTGAAATCAGGGAGGTGACTGTTCTGCCTCAGCTCTCGAGTCCTCCCTGCCTTGTCTTTACCTTAGCTCTGATTACTTTTCTGATGGTAACATTTGGGGAGGTTTACATCGGATAGTGGGGAAAATTCCTTCATGGAAAGGGTGATCAGGCATTGGAATGGGCTGCCCAGGGCAGTGGTGGGGTCGACAACCCTGGAAGTGTTCAAAAGGTGTGTGGATGTGGCACCTGGGGACATGTTTAGGGGTGAATGTGGTGGGGAGGGAATGGTTGGACTTGATCGTGGAGGGCGTTTCCAACCTTAATGATTGCATTTCTCTGTAATTACCTGGTTTGACAATCAGATCTCTGGTGGTTTGGGGGGCTCCATTACAGGTTCTGTGTGCTCCTGTGTGAACTGATGGTGGTTTTTGTCCCCCCAGTATCGTCACAGTGGCCCCCCGTACGTCGGGCCCCCCCAGCAATACCCTGTGCAGCCACCGGGACCGGGACCCTTTTATCCAGGCCCAGGTCCTGGAGAATTCCCCAATGCCTATGGTAAGTTCTGCTTGGAGACTTCTTACAGAATCTTCCCTGGGTATGTTTTTCTGTTGTCAAGCTGCAGATTTATAATAACAAGCTGGATTAGCATTTGTTTGAACTTCAAATAGATGCTAAATTTAGTGGTGTCACAGCCCTGATTATTCACTCCTGAAAAATCCCCACTCCCAGAGCATTGTTTGTGTGAGTGCCTCAGGAAAGGCTGCCCAGGATCACATGGGACCAGGAATGGTGGCTGTTTCTTAGTCCCTGCTCAATCACTGTTATTTATTAAGGTATTGTGGGTACATCTGGCAGCCCTGGTTTCCACTGAGCTGTGCCCTGGGTCTGCTCCCAGGAATACAGCAGCTGACTTTCTTATCCCTGTGTTCCTTGTTCGGTGTTTAGTGAGGGATGAGAGCAAACCATGGGGTTTGTTCCCTGGTTTTATGCTGCAAAGATCAATTTAGTGCAGTGGAAGAGTCTGTAACTCCTGCACAGGCTGAAATTTGGCCCTTTTGGGGGCGACTCCTGGTGTTGCCTTTTCCGAAGCAAAAAAGTTGGGAGATTGTCGTAGATATGATCATCATATGTACATGTGTTCAGGGTGTTTGACTGGATTGAAGCTATGTCAGGGCAGGGTTAGGTGGGATCTCAGGAAAAGGTTCTTCCCCCAGAGGGTGGTTGGCACTGCCCAGGCTCCCCAGGGCAGTGGGCACAGCACCAAGGCTGCCAGAGCTCCAGGAGGGTTTGGATGATCCTCTGGGGCACAGGGGAGGATTGTTGGGATGTCTGTGCAGGGCCAGGAGTTGGACTAGATGATCCTTGGGGGTGCCTTCCAGCTCAGGATATTCCATGATTCTGTGACTGTCCCAGGTCCTGAGGTTCAAAGCTTCAATTAAACATTCCAGGGCTGCATGTCCAGGGCTGGGGATCCTTTCTGTCCATGTCTGCTGGTCCTTGAGTCCTCCAGGGCCTCCCAGCTCCTCTCCCCTGGGTCCCAGTTTGCAAACCCAGTGGGTGACTGTCCCTCCCCACCTCTTCTCTTGGCAATCACCTCTTACAGAAAAGCAGTGAGGTCTTTTCTTAACAATTCCCAGCGTGTTGCTGTGTGCAGTCCCTGTCCTCCTGACATCACAGCCCCCTGGGAGGCTTTCCATGGGATCTGTGTTTGGATGGTTCAGTCAGACCGGCTCCTGCAAGCTGTGTTTGAGATGCAGAATTAGGAGTCTTGCACTCATGTCCATCAGTTCTTCCCTTGCTCATTTATGGCAACATCTGAAAGGCCCCCAGGATGATTGCATTCATCACCCCTTCGCGTGGGTTGATTTTTGAAGGGTTTTCACCTCTCAATATCAATTTTGAGCCGTTTTGTTCTCTCATTGCTACCTGCCCTTCACATTCTGTGACCTGTTGGGGGCAGAGGTACTGTCAGCTTCCCATGGGCTGTAGCTGTTGGAATTCCAGAGCCTTGGGGTGACTCATTCCCTTCCAGGCTGAACAGTGACAGCCCTTGGCAGAGCTGTAGGTTTGCTCTTCACACACACAGATGCCTTTGGAAGGGGAGCAAAGCCCCACTTGCTTTCCTGTGTATCATTTGGAAATCTTTTTTAGTATTTTCCTTCTTTCTGTTCTTTATTTGGTGTGTGTGGAGCTCATGGGACTATGTTGAAAGGTTGCCCTGAACCCTTCAAACATGGTTCTGCAATTTCAGAATAGAAGGAGGGAGGGTAATTACGAGGCAGCTGCTTCCTGGTTGTTTATCCTAGAAAAAAACCAGAAGGAACATTGCAATGGTTCTTCAAACCTGATCCCTTAAATGAGGAAATTGCCCAGTATTCCTCATTTTTTCTGCTGTTACAGCTCTGCTTTCTTACTTGCTGCTTAGACTTGCTTAGTCTTCACTCTTGTAATTAGGAAAAGGTTCCTTTCTGGCTGCTTTCCTCTCCTGGAAGCACCTGTTTTCTTGCACAGAAACTTGGAATCTTTCAGTCCCAGCTTGTTTTTAGGTTGCTGTGTCTGTGGAGCATCAGTGGGTGAAGCTGGAGCTCTCCATCCTGCAGAGTTTTCCAGGCAAGGAAGGTTTAGCTGAGGAAGGGGATGATGGAGCTTTGCCTGTGCTCATCCATCTTTCCCTCCTGTTCCTTCCTTGCTGTTTGGAGGGACTGGGAATGCTCAGTCTCTCACCAGGTGCTGCCAGGCTTGGGGAACAGCTAAATCTACAATCCAGGCATGGATAAAGCTGCTGGCAGTGCCTTTTCCCATAAACCACAGGATTTGTAGCCAGTGTGGCTGCTGGATATCAAAATCATGGCAGGACCCGAAGAAGGTGATAAAAGCAAAACTTGTGAGGATGGACAGTGCATTTTTATACCTCAGTTTTGCAATTTATCATTCTCTGATATCAGGGAGTTTCCTACAGCGTTGGGAAAGACCTTGAAATGATCAATGGGAAGGAGGGAAAATAAAACTTTGGTGCTGTAGAACTGGAAGTGATGAAAAGGCAGGAGAGCAGAGAGTGTGGCACTGACACGGGCACTTGACTTGTTGCAACAGAAGCTGTTTCCTCCCAGAAGTTCACTCTTTCTTTGCAGGATTTGGGTTTTTTAAGTATTTTTCATAAAGGAAGAGTCCTTCCCTGAGGAGCTGCCTCTCTGCCAGGGATCACATTACAGGGGGTCTGTAGAAATGAAGGTAATTCCCACATTCCAGGGCTCCCAGGCTGGTCCTGTCCCCTCACCTGACCCAGACTCTGCTTGGACACTGGGCACCTCCACCAGAGTGTTACTGGGAAGAGTTTGAGGTTCATCACTGTTTTTAAGGAGAGATGGAGGAGGGTTCATAGAATCCCAGAATGGTTTGGGTTGGGAGGGACCTTAAAGCTCATCCCATTCCACCCCCTGCCATAGACACCTTCTGTAGCCCAGGTTGCTCCAAGCCCCATCCATCCTGGCCTTGGACACTCCCAGGGATGGGGCAGCCATCTGGGCAGCAGTTCTCAGTTCCCAGGCTGGAGAGGTGCTGGTGGGCACTTGTGTGCCCTGAGGCCTGATCTGAGCTCCTGCTGCCCGACCCTGACACTCAGAATGAGGTGTCTGTTGAATCACTGAGCCCAGCCCAGACTGAACACTTGGAGCACCTTGTGCCCCACAGGGCCCTCTGCACTGGCAGGACAACGCTCCCCCTGGGAGGCTGCAGGCAGGGAGCCTGCCCAGAGCTGGTGCTTTCAGCTCTCAGCTGGGGGAATCCATCCTTTGAAATCTCAAATCAGACTGTGCAGGGCCGAGTTCTTTCTTGGATTTCACCCTTTGCCGGAGATCGCAGTGACCCCTGGTTGGGTTACAGGCACAATCCAGGTTTCATTCCCATTTAAAGGTTAGTTCAGCTGAAGAATGATCAGATATGAATAAATCAGATTGCTCCAGGGGCAAGTGCAAGCAGTCAGTCCATCCAATATCCATACCTAGAAGGGAAAAAAAACCCAGCAGCACCTCACACATTCCCCTGACATCGGATCCATGGGCAGAAGACAGCTCTGCTCTGCCACCCTGATATCTGGCACGTTTTTAAAGCACTCAGTTATTGAGCCAACATCATTCCATAAAGGAAACCATAATGAACCATATTGGCTGTTCCAGTGTGAGCAGCACCACAGTGAAATTCTGCATTAATCACCATGGTCGTGCTTTTCGTGAGCTGCAGCATGAGAAGAACATTGGTTGTAATTATATTTTCTGATTATGCTTCGAAGCAGGCTGCAGTTGACCTTGCAAATTGTTTGTGTTGGTCTGACTGAATTTCTCTATGAAGGCAAAAATATGATAAAGCAGCAATAAACTCACCTGTTTGTCAGTCAGGGGAGTCCAAGGATGGTCTTTTAGTGCCTTGATGGTGTCCACAGGCCTTCGGGAATGGATGCATGTGGCCACCTTTTTGCCATGGAAATTAAAAATTCTATAGTGAAATAATTAAACAAATAAATTTAATTAAATGGTTGGGGTTTAATAATTAAATGATTTTTTAATAATTAAATAATTTTAATAATTAAATAAAAATTAATCTCCTGCCTTGATGAAGGAGCAGCTTCTGTTGAGTGAAGTGAGGAAGAGCAAACCCAGATCGTTGTTAGAAGTTCTGGGGTTTGGAGGAAGGGAGGAGCCCGTGGCCAGTTTTACCTCTTGTGCTTGGTTTTAGTTCATTAACAACCAAACTGAGCTTCTCCCTCTTGTTCCATCCCTGTTTGCCCCCAGGAACACCGTTCTACCCCAGCCAGCCCGTGTACCAGTCCGCGCCCATCATTGTGCCTACGCAGCAGCAGCAGCCACCACCCGCCAAGAGGGAGAAGAAAACGGTGAGTGATGGCCCTGAGGGACACATTCCTTGGGGGATTGGAAGGTGGAAGGAAATTAATTCCCTTCTTAAGCTTAAAACTGAGCTTTATCTTCGCTGGAGGCCCTGGCACAGGTTGCCTGGAGAAGCTGTGGCTGCCCCATCCCTGGCAGTGTCCAAGTGTCCAAGGCTTGGGGCAGCCTGGGATGGTAGAAGGTGTCCCTGCCCATGGAACAAGGTGAGCTTTAAGATCTCTTCCAGCCCAAGCCATTCCAGGATACTATGATTCCCAGAGAGGTTATACCTTACCTGTCACAGCCAAGTGTCATCAAACATTGCACAGTGCTGAACTTGGGCCTTATTTTCCATTTTTCCACGGGGACCCTCTGCTCTGACTTTGGGACATCTCAGCCAGTCAGAAAGGAAAAGATTTTTGCTGTTTTTTAAATAAACATCAGTGAAAGCAGCAGGATCTCCCTCAAAGCCTGGGATCCTCTCCTGTGCTGCTGCTGAGGGTATTCCCAAAGAGCCAGGTGGGAATGAGCAAACTCAGCTCAGCTTGGGAGAATGTTGGGAATTGGTTCAAAATGACAGAAAAAACAATTATTGAATATTATGCCTTGGAAAAGGTAGAAAATCAGTAAGTTGTGGATGTATTTGCAGGCTCGGGAGAACCTGAGCACATTATGGAAGGGGTTTGGACAGCACATTCCCACTCCTTCTAATTCACTGGTGGGAATTGGAGAGAGACAGATTAATGGAATTTAAACCCATCTGCAGGTGGATGGTGGGGAACAGTAAAGGTACACAGGGAGAATGTAAGGTTTAAACAGAAGATGGGGGTGGACTTGAACTGGTAAACGAATAATTTGTAAAGATTGAAAAGGAAATTACACCAGTCTGTGTGTGAGAGTGGTTTGGAAATGTTAAAAGAACTCTTTCATGGAGGGGGGGGAATATAAAAAGGTTCATGGGCTTGTCTCAAAATGCATAATATTTGTATCTTTGGAGTTTTGAAGGTGATCTGAGGTGATTCGGGAGACTGGGAGAGCTGAGCTGGGCTCACAGGAAAGGCCTTTTTTGGGGCTGCCCTCAGCACAGGGGCTGCAGCTCTTTAGTCACCTCTTCAGTCCCCAGGAGTCTCTTTTCAGCATCCCAAACACGACATGCCCAGATCCCTGATGCCATTTAAATGCAGAGCTGATCAGACACGCTCAGCTGGGATTAAGGCAGTTCTGTGCCAGCAAAGCCGAGTTCTTTGAGGCAGAAAAGGGATTTTAAATGCCCGAGATGCTTCTCTCTGAATGTGCTATTTCAGTTTGTTAATTGGTGTTGCAACTGAAGAAATGAGGGAAATTAAAGAAAAATTAAATGTATTCGTGTACCCACCCCCACAGCCACCATTAGGTGAGTATTTAAGTAACTTCCAGGCAGGGAAAGCTTGTTTTAGTGGCATTGACTCCATATCGGGGGAGGAGAGGGGCAGGAATTTATGCCAGCTCTCAAGTCCTTGTTGGTGTGGTTAATTAAATGTTTTAGCAGGAAAACCTCATCAAAAATAAGAGAAGCCCAACATCCTGAGTGCCACGTGTGCATTTGTGTCTTCATAACCTAGAGTGGAGCAGCCACCCCACGGTACTGAATGTGATGAACCACAAAACCCTTCTGCAGTTTGGTTTTATATCACAGAATCCCAGAAGGGTTTGGGCTGAAAGGGACCTTGAAACCCATCCAGTTCCAACCCCTGCCACGGGGGGATTATGAGGAGCATGGTGGTTTCCAGAGGGAAGGGTTCTGGTGTCTCTTGGTTTGCTTGGAGTTGTTTGCTTGGATTTCTGCATGGAATTACTGAGAGTTCAGCCAAGAGCTGTGGAGAAGGTGGGTGGACACAGCAGCTCTGGCTCCAGGTTTATCAGACTCCAATTCTTATTGAAGATGGAGAGCTCTGTTTCACATTATCCCAGACAGTTTGGCTCTTCCCCGTGTCCAGGGATGTGGATTGGCTCAAGTGTCATTGAGGGTTCAGTGAGTGTGTTCTGGAGTGGTTTATTTTGGAAAATATCTTTTCTTCCCATTTTGGGGCTGTGAAGAGACTCACAAAAACCCACTTGTTTCCTAAACGCTGCTGAGTTTTATAGGACTTTAGTTTGTTCTTGCAGTTTCCCTTTCCTCCTCTCAGTGTTTTTGTTTGATTCCCTCTGTTTTGGTGGAATGATTGATTTGTTTTCCCCCTTTCCCAGCAGCTGGGTTGGCAAAATCACAGAGTTTCACATGAGGGTAAAACACAGCCTTTTTTTTATTCTTGCCCTTTTCACTGCCTGGCAAGTTTAGCTCAGTACCTGAACTGTCCCCCAAATCCTCTGAGTTGCAGGAAACTCCCGTCCCAGCAGAGACCAGATTTGAATTACAAGGGGTGCGTGTTTTAGCCCGACCTGGTGTGGCTGATGATTAAATTAGGTTTTGATTAAATGAGGTTTGGAGATGAAGGGATGACATGCCATGCATTTCAAGTTATGGAAACAAACCCCATCCCAGTGCTCCTGCCGAGCCCCAGCTCAGCCCCGTGCCGGGTGCCTGGGGTGTGCTGGGAGCGTGTCCTCCCCACGCTGCTCTCCAGGGACAGCGGTGACGGGGGGTCTTGTTTGAGTTATTTCTGTGTTCAATCCTGCAGATCCGAATCCGGGATCCAAACCAGGGAGGCAAAGACATAACAGAAGAAATCATGTCTGGAGGGGGCAGCAGGAACCCCACCCCCCCCATCGTCAGACCCACCTCCACCCCGACTCCGCCTCAGGTAGCGAAGGTTCCTCCTCCCGGGGCCTCTGCTCTGCTCTGCTCTGCTTTGCTGTGTCAATCCCAATTCCTTGAGCTTCCAGACACCTGCATTCTCCTAAACTATCCATGTTCTTCAAGGATTGTTGTTTTTTCCCAAATTTGGTCGTTTTTACCGTTTTTGGTCGTCAGCATGGAGCTGCAGTGCTGCTGCAATCCCCCCTCCCTTGGGATCAGCAGCAGATTTCACAGCTTGTGAAGAGTTTCAGTGTTAAAGGAGGAGCCAAAATATCTGTGAGAAATTAGATGTTTTTCTGTTAGTCCTGTGCACCTGGGGAAAGTGCATGTCACACATGTGATTAATTTATACACCCTCAGTTGCATCTCTGTCCAAACTAAGGCTTTCTGCCTTAGTGGTTCTGGTTTAGAGTCACCAGAAGGAGCAGGGCTTGGGAATTTTCTCAGAGAGCCGTGATAAATCTGTCACGTTTGGCCTCTCTGTGTTCAAACTTAAAAACTCATTTTTCTGATGTGGGACAAATCGTAAATATCCCAAGCTGACGTTCTCCATAGCTCCTAAATCCCTTCTTGTCACACACCTTTGAGTCTGACCCCTTCAAGTCTCTGGGGGCCTGAACAGAAGCCATGAAGGTTCTCCAGGTGATGGGGGGGCTGTGGGTCAGAGCCTGGCTGGGGCTGGGGTGTGATTTCTTCTTCTTCCATGTTCTTCCCTGTTGGATGTCACCAGGTTTTGCCAACTTTTTAGGCAAAACAGCCTATTTTGAGCTGAAACCTTCCTTTCCCCTCCATGTGTGAGTAGTTTCCTGCTGCCTGTGCTGAGGCAGAAGCACGACCTTGCCTGGAGGTTGTACCGGAGTGGGAGCTTGAGATTCCAGGAAGGTTTAACTGGGACCACTGAGATGCAGCAAGAGCCTGGCCTGCAGATCTCCCCTCATGAGGCCAGTGGGATAGTTATGGATTTCAGTCATTCCCAGGCTCACTCAAATCTTTTTGTCACCTGAAGGCACCACCTTGTGCTTTGTCACCTGCTTTCTCCTCCTCCATTGTGGGCAGCACCCGTTAAACTTCTTTCCATAAGAGGAGACACTGTAGGTGTCAAACATTGGAATCCCGGGGAGATCTTCTTCCCATTTCTTCCTGCTGAACGACTTTCCCATTGGAAGTGGGCAGAGCTGGAACCAGCCAGGCTTCCCGTGGTGTTCCTGCCCAGTGCAGCGAATCCAGGCACTTCTTACATTCTGAAATCTATTTTAAGACACTACAATTAAGTCAACCAGAAGGAAATAAATGTGTTTCAAGAGGAGGTTAACAAGCCTGAATTTTGATCAGCTGTAATTTGTATGCAGAGCACAGCAGTGATGTCCAATCACCTCCTCCAAGGTATGCAAATACTCCTTTGTTTAATATCCAGCCTTCCTTCTGATGAGGTGCTTGGAACCACTCTTGGTAATCACAGAAGAGCTCTGAAATTGGGCTCCCTAGAAAAAGTTCATTAGTGTAACATAACTGAAAATTTAAGCCCACTTAAGCCAGGAAAATTCCAAGTTATTGTCCCAACAGCTTCTCTAAATCAAGTCTTGGGAACACGTTTAATATCTTGGATGAAATTAAATAGAGCCTTAATAACTGTGCTCAGGGGCTGAATTGCAGCAGTGTGGGTGTTCCTGTTTTGAACAGGCTCAAATCAGGGAATTTTCAATACTCAGCCATAACTATAGAGATGCTCATGGTTTATGGGCAGCTCCTGGAAGAGCTGCTGTGGTTTGTTCCACCCCCTGCTCCTGAGGGGCTTGGTGGGATTTCATCTGGTTGAACCCTCAGGATGTGAATGTACAACCTCAGGGCTTGGCAAGGCATCACCTCCTCATCTAATCAACGTGACTCCCAGTCCAGTGAGATTTTAGAATGACACTAAATTCTAATAAAGCTTCTTTATGTGATCCTGGAATCACATTCATATTTAAATGTTCCAAGCACAGGGGAAGAAACTTCCTCAAGAAGTGCAGGAAGGCACTGCTGTAGACCACTCCCTGTCCCCCATATTTGTAAAAGAAACGCTTTTATAATAAAAATAGGTTTCCAAATGTTCCATATTCCATTTAAATTCAAATTATTTTTTGATTTTTTAAACTCAAAACTCTTTTTTTTTGACTTCAGTAAAACCTGAAGCTTCACTAACACAAGCCTGAAGCACCTTCTTCTCTCAATAGATTAAGTGCTGAATAGCAAAAAATTCTTGGAATTGTACTTAACATCAAAAAATTAATGGAATTGTCCAGAAAATGAGCTTTGCTACCAAGATGAGCCCTGTGCTTTGAGCCATTTCTGTGCTTTTTGCAGCTCCTGCTCCGTGTTCAGCATCGCTGACCGAGAAGTGCTTTAGGTGGAGTTTCCCAGTGCTCCAACAGTGGGTTTTAATTACTTTTTAGCAATGAAAGTGCTTTAAAGTTCCTGCAAGAGAAGCTGGAGGGCCGTGGAGATATTATCTGTCCATTTCTAGCAGAACACTTACTTTCCACACTGTGTTTTTTGCTGGGAAAGTGAAAAAAAAACAGGACCAGGATCTGATTATGGTGTTTCCTCAGCACTGACTTCCACAGAAAATCACTTTTTAAAGAGTAAATGCTCTTACTTTCCTGGCAAACCTCTCCCAGGTCTCAATGAGTTTGTCAGACCTTGTGTTTGCTGGGTCTCTGGTGGGGTGGAAGAACCCAGAGCCAGCCCTTGGAGCATCATAAATCACGGAGTGATTTTCAGTGGGACTTTTCCCTAGAAAGTCTCTAAATGCTCCATTTTGCAGCTACAAGGCTCAGTGCAGAAGCACCACTTATTCATTTGCACGACCATTCCCACAAAATAAATGAGTGTTTCCCACATTTCTTAAGGAAATACAGTTCCTGACCCACAAAATTTCTGGGCTCACAGTTTCTTCTTCGCTGGTCTGCTTTCATTCATGGGGTTCTTGTCACCTTTTCCTTTTCCCCATGGATTTCATCCATACATTTCCTATAAAATGAAAGTCCTGATCTGCTGAGGGCAAGGGGAATAATGTTCTTTAAACCTGCTCATTTGTAAAGCTGGGTTTTCCTTGGCTTCTTTCCTTCAGCTGGAGGTTGGGCTGCAGTTCTTCATCCATTCTCCAGCTGATTGATCAGGCTCGTTCCTGGAAGAGGAGCAATCCCAAAGAAAACTTCAACCCTTCACCCCCATTGAGATTTTGGTTCTTATTTTTCCAGATGCACTTTTTCCCAATCCCCCTGAAATGGTAAAAATTAGTGTCTTGAAGATAATTGCATTTTTACCCTGCTCTGTGGAGATGAAACAACTGGAAAAGCTGGAAATGAGAGGGAAAAAGAAGAGGAGCGGGTTGACAGAGAGTTTCTTTGCATAGGGAAATAAGTTCTTCCCGGATTTCTGAGAGCCTGTGTGAAAGCAGGAATTAGACACCCATGTCTTGAGCATTCTGCTGGGTTTGGATTGTTTAAAAATCCATTTTCCTGTCGATGTTAGAGGAGTTTTTGGGTGTGGAGCTGGGTGAGAGCTGACACCTGCAGGGAGCTGCCTGACTTTCCACCTGGAATTAGGAAATTGAGATTTAGCCCCATTTTCCTCTTTTCCTGGTCCCTGGTGTGTAATTAAGGGGATTTTGTAGCTACCTTGCCCCGTCTGTGTTCACTCAAACAAGTGTCTCACCTCTGAAGTTGAAGGAGTTGGGGCAGTTACTTGATCTTCCTTAAATTCTGTGATTAAATACAAAGGATTTTACCAAACCTTCGTGAACACAAGTGAAGTGTTTGCCCATTAATGATGGGAGTTAATTAAAATATGTGTTCTCTGCCACAGGCTGGGGCTCCTTCAGTCTTTCTTCATACTTTGCTGGTCCTGCAGTTTTGTTCTTCCACACAGACAATCTCAGGCTCTCTCCATGTTGTTTGGGAATCAGCTCCTCCTGCTCTGCCTTAAATTGCTGCCCAGGTGGTTTTATTCTCATGTTACCCTGCAGGTCCCACCCCCAAGGCTGGTTGTGGGTGATTTTTTCATACAACCACCCCAAACTGGGCGATTTTCCTGCTGATGAGTGATGTGTGTGCAGGGAGAGACATCTGTCCACTGTTCATACACTCCTACACACATCACCAGTGGATAAATACAGAGAAAAGGAAATAAATAGACATGAAATCTCTGAGGTGGATAAATGATCAGTTGAGGAAGGAGTCAGGTCCCAAAAGGGAATGTAAAAATATGGAAGAAAATTCCTGCTGCCCCTGGAAACTTAAATCCCAGAGATCCAGGAGCCTTGGTGTGTGTCCTACATGGAGGAACATTCCTGCTGCCCCTGGAAGAAACGCTGGGAGAACCAAGTGTGTCGACAACTGTGCTGTGCTGTCTCTTCCTTGCTGTTCTTTTTTCCCTCTCCCTGCTGCCTTTCCTTCCCCTTCCCATGTACTTTTTGAATGTATCCAACCAACCTGTGCATCTTTCCTCTTTATTTTCCCTGCCTTTGGTTTTTCCTCTTTATCCCCCCCTATCCCACCTCCCCACTTGCCTGTTGCTCCGTGTTTTCCTGTTCCCAGGCTCATTCTCACCCCTTTGTCCTTCCCCCCCAGCAGGTGCCCAGCCAGGTCCCCGAGCCCAGCCCTGCAGGATTTGGGGCCGTGGAGACCCCCCACCTCTCTGCCAGCACCCCCAGCACTGCGGCCTCCAAGCAAGGTTGGTTCGGGGACGTTTCCTCCCTGATTATTTTTAGTCCCTTATTTTTCCCCTCCTTTCTTGTTTTAGTTTGAAGGTTTCTGGCAGGGAGACAAGCAGGGAGCAGAAGTAGGAGGGGAGGGACTTCTCTCTCTCTCCAGTGGAACATCTGAAGTGTGTTGCTAAGGGGATTAATTGGAATTTGCTAATGTGAAACTGGTTAAAAATAATTGTCTTTGAGCTTCTATGTCCTAAACGTTGTTTTAAAGTAGGTAGAAGGGTGAAACTCCTCTCACCCCTGTGCCATCCTCCAGAAAACAGTGTGTTTTCAGTGAAATGCTTTAGCCAGAGAGGCTTTGGATCATTTGGATAGTCAGCCATAGCAATGGCACAGAACCAGAGGATCATGTGGCTCCCCCAGAGCTGCTCGTGTGTCTGTCCTGCAGGAGTGGGCAATTTTAATTAAAAAAAAAAAAAATTAATGTGCAAAGTGGCTCATAAAGCCCAGAGCAAATTTTGCTGACTTTGGTAAAAACGGCACAGATGGAAAAAGTTTCTTAAAAAGCATCCCTTGGCCAGTGCTCTCAGGGACAGGGGGGGATTTTGGAATGTCTTGTGCAGGGCCAGTAGTTGGACCTGGTGATCCTGGTGGGTCCCTTCCAGCCCAGGATATTCTGGGATATACATTGGAAGGGAGATATTTTTAAACTGTTCAGAGGAGTGTCCCAGGAGAGCCGATGGACATTCCAGGGCTCTTCTCACACTGGAATTTCATAGCCATTCAGAGCTTAATTCCTGATGTGTGTCCAGCTTCCTGTCAATGGGCTGGGTGTTGGGATATGGAGCTGTCACCACTCCTTGCTTCCTGATTATCCAGGGTGTCACAGCCTCCAAGGGTTCTACCTGCAGCCACCTGTGCAGGGAAGTTGGGAAGTTCCATCTTCTCCTCCTGAGTGTTGCCTTTAAACTTTGAGCTTGCTGAGACCTTTTATTTCAGAGTATTTAGAATCATGGAATCGTTTAGGTTGGAAATGTCCTCCAAGATCATCAAATCCAACCATTCCCTGCCGTGTTCATCCCTAACCCTTGTCCCCAAGTGCCACATCCACAAGGTTTTTGAACACCTCCAGGGATGGTTTTTCTGCTCTGGGCAGCCCCTTGCAGTGCCTGACCACCCTTTCCATGAAGGAATTTCCCCTGATATCCAATCCAAACCTCCCCTGGCACATCTTGAGGCTGTTTCTTCTTGTCCTATCACTCGTCACCTGGGAGAGAAAAACTAAGCCCCACAGCAGCACAGCTCTAGGAAAAAAAGGGAGGAAGCCAAGCTCTCTGATGTCCCTCGATCCCAACTGCAGCAGGTCACTGCTGGGGAGCCAAGGGCAGCATCCCTGGGGCTCAGAATCAACCACTGACTGCGGATGTTGCTCCTTTATGGCCCCAGTGAGACATCTCTGAACTGCTGCAGTGTCTAGAAATGGGTTGGAAAAAGCTGAGAAAGGACCTTTGGGAGTTGGTCTGGTCCCATCTCCACTGGAAGTGGGGCTGTGGCTCTGTCTGAAACTTGGTGCAAACCTTCAGTGTCCCTGTCACCCGAGGGGGGGGATGGGTTTGGTGTCCCTCAGATCCACTGTGGCTGTGCTGGCTCAGCTCACAGGCTGCTGCTGCTGCTGCTGCTGCCCAGCTCTGGCACAGCTGCTCTTCCCAGTCCACATCCCCTCTACCGACATTCCCAAGTCCCTCTGGCTGCCAGGGACATCCTCTGAGTGCTCCACGGTGCTGGTGGCACTGCTGAACACGATGCAGGCACTAAAATGCCCTCTGGAGAGAACTGATGCTGAGCTGTAAAGCCACAGGATCCCAGAACATCCCCAGCTGGAGGGACCCATAAGGATCCTCAAGTCCAACTCTCTGCTCCTCACAGGACCACCTACTACTAAACCACAGGACCAGGAGCTCCTTGACCTCTTTATCTCTGAAAATCCAGCACTTTCCATCACAGTATTTCACCCCTGTGTTAGAAAACATGGATCTCCAGGACAAACAGGTCTTCTCCCTCTTCTCTCTCTTTAACTTAATCCCTTCTTAGGCAAGAGTTGGACTTGATGATCCTTGTAGGTCCCTTCCAACTCGGAATATTCTGTGATTCTGTGGACTGTGAGCAAACTGGAACTAAGTGTTTATTTAGTTACAGAGCTCTGACAGTGCTGGTTTAAATATAGATCAGGACTTGACTGGGGTTTAACACTGCCAAGCTTTCCTGTGTTTATCTCTGTTCCATCCCAGAAAGAGTCAAACATTTGTTCCAGTCCAAAAATTGCTAAAGAGCACATTTATGTAAGCACTGCAGGGAGAGCCCTGGAATAACACCCGGAGCACTGGGTCAGGGCCTGGGGGGGCAGAGCAGTGCTGGGTTGGTGTCAGTCATAGACATTAATTAATAGACACCATTAAATATTATTTGAACTGAGCTGGTGACTTGAGGGCAGCACAGTTGTCCAGAAACACATGCCAAGGTATCAAAATGATTTTTCGCTTTGATGTTGAGCTAGTTTTGCTTCCCAAATCTAACCAGTGATAGATGGATAGATGCATGACTGAAGTGTTTATTAAAACCAGCATTGTTGTTTCCCTGAAGTCCCCTCTGCTGTGGATCAGATTCCCCCCTGTGCCCTTCACCTCCTGCACTCCTTCACCTCCACTGGAGTTTGGTGTCAAGGTTTCACTCTGATTTTGTGATACCTTGTGATGATTGTGCACTTGTTGGTAACTGTGAGCAGCATTTGGCCCCTTCCCACGGGCTCCTACCGGGAGTGGAGCCACGTCCTGTGCCGGCAGACCCGGCCTCTGCCATCCCTCACTGCCAGGATCTGCTGCTGGCTTGGTGCTGAAGTCATTCCCAAGGCTGGATTTGGCATTGCATTGCATTTAATATCCTTGTGGTTTTTTCTTTAAAAGACAAGCATTTGGCATTTCACAGGATCCCAGAATGGTTTGGGTTGGAGGGACCTTAAAGTTCATCCCGTTCCAGCTCTCTTCCATGAGCAGGGACACGTTCCACTGGACCAGGGATAGGAATTGCTGCTATAATACCTTGAAAAATCACATTATTTAAGGGCAAACTGTTCCTATAGATGCCCCTGGTGTGGATATACCAGCCAGGCTGCTGGAGGCAGGGATACTGCTGGAGAATCCAGGTCAAGCCGAAGGCCGGGCACGTGGAACCTGGCTGCAGGCCAGGCTGTGCAGGAATTGCAGTGGGATATAACTGCGTGGGATCAGAGCTGCCCACTTTTACTGCACTTGCACAGTTTCAGGGGGATGTTTGGAGTATTATCCTCGTTTTAAACCTCTTTCCAAACCCTGCAATGTGTCAGACGTGGAGAATGTACAACAGGGTTTGTGGAAAACAGGCTAATGTCACATCCCAGAGTTTGGGAAGCTCCAAAGCCCCTCTGCTGACACTGGTGCTGCCTCGTGAGTGTTTGCATCGGGACAAAAGATGGAAAAATGGCAGCGAGCCCAGCAGTTATTGTCAGATCAACACCACAGAGCAGAGAGGAATCCCTGTATCCAGTAAAATCTTCCTCATCCCCAGCTCTGGGCAGTCTGTGCCACCAGGACCAGCCGGCAGCCCAATCCTGGCTTTTCCAGGGGGAAGGCAGCAGGGTCTGTCTGCTGAGTGTGTGAAAGGACCCTCAAGGAATAATTCTGCAAAATTTATATTAATGTGGAGATTTAAAAAAAATATCTCTTGATCTTTCCTTCTGCACAGCCTGGAGCTCCCATAAATACTGTCTAAGTATAACATGAGGAAGGATCTCAGCATATTTAGGAAGAGGGATCTGATCCAGCCAGGATGAATCGTGTTGATTTGTGTTTTCCCTCCCCGGTTGTGTCATTTCACGTGACTCTGTCACACTTGGCAGGGATGGGTGATCCTTCTCCAGCACTTGGAAGTTTGTTCTCCAGGATGGGGGTTCAAGTTCAGATTTGCTTCTCATTAGCCAAATCTGTTCCTTTGTTCTCTGAAATCCCCCCTCCTCAAATCACTTTTCTGATGGAGTGTTGCACACACAGCCTGGAGCTGTGGCCAGAGAAGGTGTGGTTTGAAGGAAGGAGTTAAACCACTGGTGTCAAACCCAGCTGTGCATTTTTGCTGAGTTTTATCTCTCAGAATGTTTTTCTAGACACTTCAAATGCTTTTTTTTTTTTGAGCATTCTCATTTGACTCAGGGAGAGAATATCCAGGCAGTTGTTAATAGCAAGCTGTGAATGCTAGGAATGCTCCCTGAGTTCCTGCAAAGGACCTTGCAGAAAGCAGAGGTGACAAGTTTTCTTTTCTCAACCAGTTCCTGGGTCCTTTTTCTTCTGTGGAGCCTCCAGAACCAAACTCAGCTGTTGGGACACTCTCTCCCATCTCTTTCCTCCTCCCAAGCCCTCTCCCTGGGTGCCTCATTAAATTGCTAAACTACTGCTTTGGCCCTGGTCCTCTGTAGTGCTGCTGACAGCTGGAAGAAGAGCTTGTTATTGCTCCAGCTATTCCTAAAGGTGGGACTCAATGCTCCAGGCAGTTTCAGATGGGTTCTCCTTCAAAACCCCTTTGGTTTTTCTTCAAAAATCCTTCTGTTTGCCTTCAAAAACCCTTTCCCTGCAGCTGAGTTGTTGAATAAGCCCCAAATGGAAATCCAGCAGAGCTGAAGAGCCCAAGAAAAGCCAAACCTCTTCAGTTCTGCCTGAATTTGGATGATTTAGGGTCAGTTGTGGCCTTTGATTTCCTAATCTGAAGAGCAGGGTTTGTGCTTTTCCAGAATTATTTTTGCTGGTGTGACAGTGGCCTGAAGGAGTTTAGTGTTCCTGCAGGATCCTAAAAGGTTTGTGGCAAAGGAGTGGGGAGCAGCCCAGAGCTGCAGCAGAGCTGTGGGAGCTGCGTGATGGGCGCGGCAGGGACGGTATCGCCGGGTCCCTCTCTGATCATAGCATCAGTTCAGGGCTCAGTATTATTCTCTGGGCACAATATTTTGGGGTTTGCTTTGATACATTTCTTCCTAACCTCTCATGTAATCAGTTTAACCCATTCCCCTTTGTCCTGCTACTCTCTGTCCCTGTAAAAAGTCACTCTCCCTCTCTTTTATAAGCCCCCTTTAGGCACGGGAAGGCCACAATGAGTCTCCCCAGATCCTTCTCTTCTCAAGATAGCAGGGGTTGCATTCTCAGCTTTACTGTCTGGACTTTTCCTTTAGATGCCAGATGAGCTGCAGGTGCCTCTGGTGTCTCCTGGAGCTTCCTGGCAGAAAGCAGGAATGGGAACTGAGGGGGTTCAGACACCGAGCCGGAACATGGGATTGCCTTGCTCTTTGTAACATTGCCTTTTTATTCTCCTTTCCCAGAAGAGAAGCCAAAACCAGATCCAGTATTAAAACCACCTTCTCCAGTCCTCAGACCAGAGCCTGCTGGGGAGAAGAAAGATCAAGCTGGCCAGACCACAGAGGCCTCCGCCCCCGTGGAGACCCCCCCAGAACTTCCTCCTGCTCCATCTCCTCTCCCGGCCGCTCCCGCCGCTCCCGTGGCAGCTGCTCCTGCAGCTGCTGCCGCTCCTGCTGTCACCGTGTCCAGCAAAGCCCCAGCTGAGCCGGAGGAGAAATGCGAACTGGCTTCCCCGCAGGAGGAGGCGATGCCCGTGATGGTGCCCGTGATGGTGCCCGTGATGCCCGTGCCCAGTGCCACGCCCTGCCCGGCCCCGGAGCCCGCGCCCGCCGAGGAGCCGAGCCCGAGCACCGAGGGGGGTGTGGAGCCCAGCAGCGTAGCAAGTAGCGATTCCCCAGGGCCCGGCAGCGCGGAGCTAATTAACGAGCTGATTAACGAGGCCAGCGGCGTTAATGACGCGGGGGCTGCTGCCCAGGGCGGGGCAGAGGGAGCCCAGCCCGAAGCTGCACCGTTGACTGTGGAGCCGGAGCCCCCCGAGGCCCCCTCGGCAGAAGGGGACAGCGTGCCATCATCTCCCACTGCTCTTCCTGATGCTCCCTCTCCTCCTCCCACCCCACCTCCCACCCCACCACCTCCGTCTCCTCCGGTTGCTGTTGCTGCTGTTCCCACTACAACTCCTTCTCCACCTCCTCTCCCGTCTCCGAGTGCCCTCCCTGTTGTCCAGGGGGATTTAGAAGGAGAGGAGAGCACAAGAACTACTCTTAGTGAAGAGGTGAAAGATGCTGAAAAGAAGGAAGAGCCAGAAGCCGATGGGCAGCTGGAGGAGAGCGTGGAGGCTCCGAGTGTCAACTCAAGCAAGAGTCCTGTCCCAGGTAAGCCTTGGCACCGTGGGCTGGTGTGGAGGATGAAGGAAAGGGGCCTCTGGGGTTCTTCTTCCAACAGGTGTTTCTATTGGAAAAATTCCTGCTGTGCTGCGTAACTGTTGTGGTTGCAAAGTGCTGATCTTGGTTTGCAGGGATAAAACACCCTTGAAACTGTTCCTAAAGGAGGCCCCTGGCTTGGATGTGTGTCCTGGGGTGGGATGGGTTTGTGTGAGCCAGAAGGGTTTGGCTTTCACGGTGACACAGGGCTGTTGGAGGGGGAATTCAGAGGACACTGCTTTGCATGGAATCATGGAATGGTTTGGGTTGGAAGGGGCCTTAAAGCTCATCTCATTCCACCACCTTCCACTATCCCGGGTTGCTCCAAGCCCTGTCCAACCTGACCTTGGACACTTCCAGGGATGGGGCAGCCACAAACACTGTTGTCCCCCAGGTGAGTTGCTGGTTCAAGGACCTGTGGCTCTGGATTTATGAGCCTGATAAACACTTGGGCCCTGAAGCCCTTGGGATGAACATCCTGGGCCAGGGATTTCCCAAAACCCCTGGAGTGGGGCTTTTTCCATCTGTAAAAATGTGGCACAGTGTTACCACACGTGGGGAAATGCAGTGGACCATCAAAGCTCTCCCAGACAAAGGACAACCGGTGTCACACACCACTGTTCCAGACCAGTGTCCCACCCCAGGGTCACGCCAGTGTCACACACCTCCACCTGCCCAACCTTGGTTAGTGAGGCTTTTGCTTTTCCTCTGCGAAAGGAACATCTAAGCAAACTCTACAGTTTACAAATTTACAATTTCAAACTTAAATTTTATGATTTACAGTTTGAAATTCACTAAAAATTGCAATTTCTGTAGCTGCCTTTTAAAACCCAGCCTGTTTCTCCAGGTCATTACCTTTGGTTTGAGCCCTGTGACATCCCTGGTGTGGCATTTCATGGATTGGCACAGACCACGCTTGTCTTCTTGGCTGTGTTTTCTATGGAAAACTGCTTTTTTTCAGGAATTCCTGGAGGTGACACTATGGAAAAGAAGTTAAATCAATCAATTCCTTGTATTTGCTGCTGGAGGGTGTAATGGTGGCTGTTCTGCACCCCAGAGGTGTTAAAGCATTTCATGTGTCACACCGTGTTCTGGGGTTACTTAAATTCCTTGGAATTTGGTAAAGTTTGGACAAAAAGGGACAAAAAGTCAGTTGTGATTTGGGTCTTGTTGTTGGTTATGTGTTGGTTGGGTTTTTTTCAAGTAGCATTTAAAACAGGGATTGTTTTGGTTGGTTGGGGCTTTTTAAAGTAACATTTAAACCAGGATTTTTTAGTTTATTCTTTTGTAGATCGGGAGTGGCCTCAGCACATCTCAGGCCAGGCTCTGCTCTGGATTAAATGAAATGTAAAGCTGAGGTTGGCCCTGTTCCATGTTTGTGTGAGGCTGCTGTAGGTCAATATGCTGATCTTAAATAAAATCCAATATCTAGAGGAGATCAGAAAGATCCCTTCACTACACCAGCCATGGGGGTTTTTTCCTGTTAATCTTCTTCTATTTTTATTTTACTCGGGTCATTTCACTGCTCTAGCACTTGTTGTTCTTTCAATCTGAGCTACTTCATAACCCAAATTAATTTCCTTACAAAGGAGAGAGAAGGGACTCCGTAAATAAGGTTTTGCTCAGGCAGGTTCCAGCTTGTGCTGTTATTGCTGTCTTTGTAATGGCCTGGAGTTTAAATTAAAAAAAAATTAACTTACAGTGTTTGGGGCTTTTAATTATGCACAAGATTAATTTTAATGCTCTAATGTCATTAGGTTCCACAGCACACATTAGCCAAGCCATTGGCTTTGGCAACAGGGAGAGAAATAGTTCTCAAGTCATGTAAAAGATGACTTGAAACTCAGATTTCTATTAAAAGCTCAGGGCTTCAAGGAAAGTAAAAATCTCTCCAAGTGGCTTTTTGTGCTTTACCCCTGATTTAATGATCTCGAACTATTGCATTTCTCTGCCAGCCCTCTTTTGAGCAATAATTTTCCAGTTCTTTCTTGGAGAGAGGAAGAGGGATTGAAATAACATCATCTGAAGCTGCCTGTTAACGCAGGAACGAGGAACTGTCTGCCATATACATTGGAAAATCCAGCTGCTGAACTTCAGGAGCAGGGAGAAAGAGTTACAGTGGTGTGTTTTCCTTGGACTGAAGGCCAAGAGTCTTTTTCATGATCTCTGGAGTTGGGATAGAAACTGGGATAAGGGAAACCTCTCGAGCACGTGCTGCAGCCCTGAGCTCTGTGACTTGGAGCAATATTGCTTTGGGGTTTTCAGCAGAATTGTGTTTTTATTTCAGAGCAGCCACAAATCATCATCCCACTGCTTTGCCTTTGAAGGGAGCTGAGCTGGGCTGAGTGGGACAGGATTGTGACCTCGGAATAATCTCAGTGCTGCAGCAGTTCCTCCCGCCTGTCCTCTCCATAGTTATAACCTACCTGCCTAATTTTGGGAATGAGACCTTCATCCCCCTCCTCCCAGACCTGGCAGGGCAGTCCTGCTAAGACTCATAGGTGTCTCCCATATTTCGGGATGCAGGCAACAGCTTTTCAGGGATGAATGGAGTGATTTGCCTGTTCCTCAAGTGCTTTCCAGAACACACCTTCTGTCCAGCGGTCAGGGAAACAAGACTGTGGTTTTTTGCTCCATCAAACTCTGGAGAGAAACAGAGGGAGATTGAAAATATATTCACTCTTAAACATCTTCATCCTCCAGCAGTTTTCTCACAGCTCAACAGAACGACTTTGTCAGTGTTTGCAGGGAGAGGCTGGAGCTGAGCCTCAGGGATCTGGGGAACCTCTGCTCACTCTTTTCCACTGGCATCAGGTCTCCAGATTTCCAAGGTCAGAGGATTCCATAGGAGCACTTCTGTTGTATTTTACACTGTATTTTACCCACTCTGAACGCCTTCAGTTGTCTTGGCCTGCACAGTGAAGTTTTAGTGGTTCAGTCTCAATGTCTGCCAGTCACCGGATCATCATTCTCTGCTCATTGGCATCACTGGTCTTGCTTCCCTGTGGGAATGGGGAAAATTTGGTGGGTTTTGGAGAATTAAACCACGGAGAACTGCAGGCCCTTGTACCAGGTGGGTGGTTGCTTGCTACTGACCATGTTCCTGGTCTGAGCATTCCCCCAAGTGTGGTGTTAGACGGGACATGTTCACCGTGTCCGAGGGCACAGGTCACGTTCCTGTCTCCTCAGGAATGATTTTCTGGAGTGGGCAGAGCTGTTACCTGCAAAGAGCACGAGCATGTGGCTTTTAAAGTAATTAATCTCTACTCATCTTCACTGCAAGCAGAAAAATACAGATATTATTATTATCAAGAGAGTAACTGGGTGCTCTGTTTGCGATCCGTACCCAAAACATCTCTCTGGCTAAAAGTCATCAAGGACTTGGTTTTGTTATTAAATTCTGGCTTTTCTGCAGCTGCAGTGAGGGTCCAGCACTTTTTAGACAGGAAAAATGTTGGTGAATTTCTACAGACAAGGTGCTACCAGAGCCTTGAGGCCTTTGATGTCACTGTTGTGTCCCAGCTGTTACAAGGAACAAAAGGGGAAATAAGAGACGGGTGTCTGTCCCAGGCAGAACTCCTTGGAACACAGGAAGCCAAAAGACCTTGTTACCCTTGGAATTCAAAGGACTGTTTCTTGCAGAGCTCGTTTATGATTCATATTTCAATATAAAGGAGCCCAGTTGCCAGCGAGTCCCGGTGTGCCTGAGCTGTGGGGGCTGTAACGAGCAACTTGGGGCAGTAATTGGAAATATCTTGGAGAAACATCTCCAGCACCCAAACCCAGAGAGGCAGAAACATAAATCAGGTGTAGCCTTTTTCTTGATTTGCTGCCGTAGCCACTGGAATATGTTTTCTTTCCCATGAGCTGGAAGGCAGTGGTGGGTCCTTGCTTTGGTTTTTCATGCCATGTTGGATAAAAAACGTGAAAATACAAGAGCTGGTATTAATTTGGGCTTCACAGATGGCACCACATCAGAGAGGAGAGGCCTCCTGTCCCACTGGATGGGCTGTGGACTCGCTGGTGGGGTGCTCCTGTGGGAAGATGTTCCACGGAGGAACGTGATGCAGCTGGAGAAATGGGCTGAGGTAGCTCTGGGCCTGCTGAGCAGATTCCTCCAGTGGTGCTGTTAGCACTGGGAGTGGTGTCTGGGATGGGCTGGAAATAAGAGTTTGTTCCTCATTCCAGTCCTAAAGTGTATCCATGTTGTCACTCCTTATCTCCCTTGTGTTTGTAAGCAGAGATAACAAAGAGCTCAGAGTGTTGCTTGGGTTTGCTGATGTCCCTTCTCCAAGGGAATGGAACAATCTAATGGGCCAAAAACAAGCTCTGGAAGTGTAAATGCTGCAAAAATGGAGCTGCATTTGGGCAGGAATTAAACTATGTGTGCATGTGAAGGTGCTCAACTTTGGAGACAGGAAAACTGAGAGGAAGTGTCTGGAGATTTCCGTTGCCAAGAGCTAAGCTGGACACATAACTTTGCATCTCCCTATGGCTTTTGGAGTGAAACTCAGAGCTGAAACTCCGCTCAGGTGGACGATGCCGTTGTCCTGATGGATTTTGGGTTTGGGAGGGTTGGCATCTAAACTCACCTTGATTTCTAAGCGGATCAGCATAAATTCTCTTTTAAATCCATTCCTGCAGCAGAAAGGAGAACTCAACAGCAGAAAAGAAACCTGCTGCCTGCTATTTTAAGAGGGGAAAAGTTGAGCAACATCTCCAGAGATCTCTGGAGATCCACCCTGGGCAGCTCCACCACACGGGCAAGTGTTGCTGCAGCTGTGGAACCACAGGGTGATGGGAGTCCTGGGATTTAAGGCAAGACTTATTGGCAGGGTCTCAGCCTCTGTAGAGGTTTCTTTTGCCAAAAAAAAGGTGGAAAAAGTGTATTCTTGAGCAGCAATAACATTGAACATCTTGCCAGCTGAGGAGGGAAACAGCCCAACCCCAAATCCGTGACCCCGGAGTTTAGTTCTGTGCAGTTAAAAATGAAAGATTATTTTACACCGTGGATTATTTCCATGGTTGGAGCTTGAGAGGAGTGAAATTCTGTCAGATGAAAAGCTGTGGGGGTTAATCAGTTAAATTGCTTAGCAGTGGCAGTGTTGAGGTTGTTACTGTGCAGACGTGACCCCTCCTTGGAGAAATCCCCTGGAAGTGTGGAAGTGGCATCACCAAACAAGAAGCTGTCGATGTCCAGCCTGAAAACAGTGGGTTGGCTTTTGAAAAACGCTCCTTTTTCACTGAATTATAGCAGATTTTTGTGACAGAGGGAACTGTGGAGCCTTACTTAGATCCACGCTTTGGTAAATCCCAGGAATTGCCACCTGGTCGTTCCCCAGCTTGGTTTCAGCCCAGGATGGTGGGAATAGCTCAGCTGTCCTTGCCGAGGTGCCGGAGCTGCCGTGAGCAGCAAAAGGCTGATCCTGGTTGTGTAAGGCAAAGCCCTGTTGCAATCCATGCAATCCATGCCTGCTTGGCCCTTCTTCTCCCCTCCTTTGAGCCCCAGGAAATTCGGGATTCGTGCTGGGGCTCTGCCCTGCTCGTAAAGCCTCTCCATGGGGAGCTGCAATGGATGGGACATCCAGGACTCAGAGCTTTGGAGACCCAGATTTTTCCAGCTCCTCATGAACCATCAGCTCTCTGAACAACCAGATGATCTTTACAGATTTAAATAAGACTTTTTTTTTTAATTAACCTTCACTTTTGGGGTGTTCAGCATGAAGGCAAAAATCCTTTATCGATGGCAGTGTTGCACTTTGGGTGGGGGTGGCTGTGCTGGCTGTGGTGATTCCCATGGGAATTCACGGTGAGTCTGCAGATCCACAGTCACCCACCAAACAGGGAAACACCCTGGAGAAGCCACCAAGGCTCATATGTATCTTTTAGGATAGTGGGAACACAACAAATCCTGTTTCCTCCTTGCCCTTTGGAAGTTGACTGTTACTCATTTTTCTTACTTATCCGTAGTGAAGAGCCTTTCAAAATTGTATTGTATTGTGATAAAGGAAGTGCACGCTGGGTTTTTCCAGAGTATCTGCTGGAAACCAAAGGCTGGAGCTGGAAATCTGTTTGCAGTAAACTTCAGTCACGAAATCAATCCCATTTACACCCTGTTAACTGGGCGTGTGTGTGCCTGGGATCCGAATCTGGGCTGGGAGCACTTGCTGCAAATTAGGACCAGATTGGATTAATGGGTTTGTCTCCTTAATATATGGTGTGGTTTCTTTTCCCTTTGGGGGGAAAAATGATTGGAGTAAATCACTGCTGATTTTGGGAATATTCTGTAGTGTTTTCTTTGACTCAGTCAGGCAGAGAGATAATTAATGGTGGAGTTGTGAACCTGCTTATAAATTGAAATATAATTCAACTCAGAGCAGGGATGCAGGATTGGAGGAGTTGTCCTTTTGGATGAGATACTGGAAATTTGGGCCTGTTTATGGTTGATATTATAATGATGTTATAATTCTTATAATAATTCTTGAGAAAAATATGTTGAGAACAACCTCCCCTCCCTGCCAGTACCTGATCTTTCAAAAAACTTGACTTTCTGAAGGTTCTCTTTTGCCCTGCGTGATCTTTATGCTGTTGGCAATGACCTCCTTGCTACTCCAAGGACCAGTTTGAGCTTGAACGAGCAACTTGGAAAACAATTCCTGTGTTTTAATGCCATTCTGATGATTCTTGTTACTGCACTGAAACCAAAAGTGGTTAAGCCAGGCTGAATCCTGCGGCTGCTTCATTTTCCTGCACCTCAGACCAGCCCACGAGAGGGAAGAACATCCCACAGGGCCAGTGTAGCTCTGTGTAATTTAGTATTGTGACAGATACACAATTCCATTGCAGCCCAAACAGCTGTAACTGCACCAAAGACCTGGAAGAAACCAAAAGACCGGACCCAAGCCACTGAGGAGGTGACGGAGGCAGAGACAGAGGTAAGAGGGGCCCGTGATCCTGCTTTCCCCAGATTTAATGGGGATGTTGCTCTCTTGGAACTGTGTTCTAGAGATGTTGTTTCCTCATTGTCTCACAGCATCCAGGGCAGAGTTTTGGGGAGGAGCTGGGATATTCCTCAGCATCCTTTAGATAACAGGGTTTAGTCTGTTCCCTGTTAAAGCTCTTCAATTTTCTTTGGCTTTGCCTAATTTAGTGACTCAGAGAATTATAGAATCCCAGAGTGGTTTGGGTTGGAAGGGACCTTAAAGACATCTCATTACAACCCCCTGCCATGGGCAGGGACACCTTCTACTAGGAGGTTCCAGTAGGCTTCCTCCCAGTGTTGGGGAACACTGCTGTCCTTCAGTGAAGGGTGGGTGTGAATCCCTCAGCACTGCCCCGTGTGGGTCCCAGGCCACCGTCCTGACACGGGGCAGGTTCTACTGCACAGGGATGTCATGGCCAAAGGTTGGTTTTCCTGATGACCAGCTGATGGAGAAGCTGAGAAAGGAAAATGTTGAAGTTCTCGGGCAAAACCACCTCAAGAGTAATTTAGATGAGTAAAGAGAATCCCCCTTGGTGCCGTTGCAGTGGGGATGCCTCTGGAAGGAGCTCTTTCCTTAATATCCTGGGTCAAACTGGGGTTAGAATCAATCAGAGAGGGAGGAAGAGAGTAAAAATGTGAAAGTTCAGACTGCCCAGTCCATGGGTAAAAACTGATATTGGCCTGATATTATGCAGAGGAGAACAAAGGGCATCCCTGGGGCTGCACCAGCAGGTTCATCTCCTGTGCTTTCCTCATCCTTCATTGCAGGAGTCGTGTCTCCTGCCCCACCCAGCAGTTCCACCAGTGCAGATTTTTCAGAGAATTCCCTTTAAAAATCTGCAAAAAGCATGGTAGGATGTGGTGCCCTCAGGTGGGGAGGGGGAAGGATCGGGAGCCTCCTCAGTGAAGTTTTTCCTTTGTTCAGTGCTCGGATGTGCTGGGATTTCTCCCAGGGGAAGCGCGTTCCGACGCCTCCTCTGTCTGAGTGCACAATCAGGCTGTGTCCTTGGAGAGCTCTAAAATTAACAACCAGGGATACTATTGCTGTTTTTCCTGAAACTGAGATGCTGGAATTGTGGCTGTACCTTCCTCGGTGGGATCTGCTCCAGTTAACAACAGGCATATAAAGGAAGAATCCCCCAAAAGAACCCCTTTACCATCCCTTTACCATGGATGGTAGGAGAGGAGGAAAGCAGGGTTGTCTTTCCAGGCTGGGATTTCTCACGGCTTAACTTCCTCCCATCCAATCCCTTGGGAATTTCATGGGCAACACCGAGTCTTTCCAGTTGCAGTGTTAGTTTTCGGGAGGTTATCCATGGGAATGAGCTGATAAATCACCTGGTGGCTCTTGTGGTGTTCCCCATCCCTGTGTGAGATGCATCTGTGTTCCTGCTGCACCCAGAAATGCCGTGTGGATTGGCCAAAAGCCGTTTCACATGCATTGGGTTTGTCGGGGTGTTTTCAACAAACCTCTGCCTCTGTCTGTGCTCCAGCCTAAAGAAGAGGAGGAACCTTCAGGAGACAAAGTACTTGAATCTGACCAGGAGAAAATGAGCCATGGGCCTCAACTGGAGAGGGAGCCCTCGGAGCTGAAGGCAGTGAAGGCCGTGGAGGAGAACGGGGAGCAGGAGGCGGAGCCCGTGCGGAACGGGGCCGAGAGTGTCTCTGAGGGCGAGGGCACCGAGCCACACTCCGGCTGCACAGAGACCCCCAGCGAGGGGCCTGTGTACCAGTACAAACCAGGTAAGTCCTGCTTCCCTCCTGGCCTTTTTGCCTCCCTCCTTTGAGGGCTGGTGACACCCTGTGTGTCGTCCCTACGGATGGGTGGAAGGGGGTTCAGTGTTCACCGTGTCCAGCTCTGCCAGGATGCACTAACCAGCAGGCCCTGAGGGACCTTCTGGGGCAGCACAAGGGGAAAATTGATTTTTCTCTTGCTGTTCGTGAAGAGAAGAGAAAATCCCCAGTTCCTTGAATTTGTTGTGGATGTGGGTGTTGGCTGCAGCACCATGGAAATGGCAGTGAGTTGGTTCCTGTGATCGACGGCTGAGAACCACCCAAGGAATTCCATATAAATTCCATAAATAATTCCATTATTTCAGATGTACCTCTGAAATCAGACACGTGAAAGTGCTCGCTGGGTCCTAAATATGAATATGTGTGTTCATAGAGATTTCACTTCCTGGCTGAACAGTTGCAAGGATCTTCAGATTTCCAAAAGAGTAAGGAAAAGAAACAGTTTGTGGTTTTCAATCCAGATTCTGTCCAGCTCTATCCCACCAATTAGGGTATAGTGTATGTAAGGGGTGTTTTGTTATTTATGAAGATAATTTATAGACCTGAACCTCAGTTAATTCACCTCATTAAGAGAGACCTCGACACTCAGTTGCTGCCAATTTTTAAGCCGTTTCTTATTCAGATGAAGCTCCTTCCAAATAAATTACTTATTTTTTAGGAGCCCAGAAATTAAAGAGTATAATAACAATAAGGAAGGACCTGGAGAGCCTGTTGGACCAGGCACTGGACAAGGAGCAGCACCATTAAGGGATTACACCAAGGTGGTTATTTCTGCACCACTTTGTTCTGACAAAGACCTTGATTGCTTTGGTTTTATTAATTCAGGACGATCGTATCGCTGGGAGGAAACACAGAGGCCTCCTGGTAGTTCAGCACACACTGAGGGTACCTGAGCAGTTCATTAGCCAAGCACTTCCTGGAGTTAATCCATAATTCATCAGCTGTCTCTCCCCAACACTTGATGCAGTCAGAACAATCCCAGTTGGATCTGGATGTCCTTTCACTCAGCTGGAGGGGTTGGAAAAGCAACACACGTTGGACTTGTGCAATAATCCTCAATTTCAGCCCTGCTCTTTCTAAAAAGGGGAATTTTTGCCCTTTGAAGGAATTGTGTGTTTGATCCTGGTCTCTCCCTGTGTTGGAGATCCTTCCTGTGACACTGCCCAGCTGGTCTTCACGTTGAAACAGCTCATTGAGAACTTTACAGGAGAAGGAAACTACACATAAACTGTTTGTTGTTGCTGTCAGAGCTTTTTCATGATAAATGGGCAGTGTGGCACAGTGGACAGGCCAGGAATTCCAGCTGGGATGCAGCTACCCAGGCAAACCACTCCTGCCCCCCTTTGTCCCAAAGCTCTGCAGAAATAAAACTACACAAAGAGCCAAAATTCATAATTACTTCTGTGTATTTTCATTCCCAGTTGTTAAAACCCATCATTGGAATGTGTCCCTGTTTGTGGCCTCTGTGAGGATGTGCATGATGAGATCCCAGAAACCCAAAGCCAATGGACAGGGAGTGAAATAAGGAAATAATAAGTACCTGAAGGGTTGGGTAAATGCTGAGCCCTCTGGCATCAACGAGATCCAAAGGCAGCACCTCCTACGGATGTTTTCCTTCAGATAAAACATGTTTTCTTCCCTAATTTCAAACAAATTGTGTGACCAGTGCTGAAAACCCCATCTCCAGGCCACCAGGTGCTGATTTTCCATGTAGGTTTTAGAATTTAGGATTCTTCACACCCAGAAAGCCCTCCAGAAAATGGGTGGAAGGTTGGAATTCTGGGATTATGGCCTGTGGTTGTGTTTTCTTGTTTCCCCCGTTATCTCCAGCCTGGGTTGTTCACAGCTCCGTGTTTCCATGTTTTCAAAGGATATTTGTGTTCCATGCAGTGCTCTCCTTGACTGTGTGTATATCACTCCCTTTTACACTGCTTTAACTTCTACATTTTCACCCAAAATCTGGGAATTGTCCCTGTTTCGTCATATCCCGCAGGAGAGTGAGAACTGGAATTAATGGGTTAAGATTGGAATTAGTGCCCAGATCCGTGTGTGGTTGCTCTGGACCTGGCTCTCCACTCCTCATTGTTTATGTCCCTTTAATGCCATGTATATTCCCCTCCTCACACTGGAAATAAATCACAATTTCCCAGGCAGCTGTACGACCTCTTCCCTTCGGATTTACTGGAGCCACGCCTGGGTTTGTCTCCTGGGAATCTCAGGGCCTTTCTCTCCCTATAGAGCAGTGGAAGCCCCTGGACCCGGAGGGGAAGAAGCAGTACGACCGGGAATTCCTGCTGGATATCCAGTTCATGCCGGCCTGTATCCAGAAGCCGGAGGGGCTCCCTCCCATCAGCGACGTGGTGCTCGACAAGGTGAGAGGAGAGCCTATAAAACAGGTACGTGCAGGGCTTGATAGAAATAAAGATCCCTAGTGCATGGATCCCTTGTGCTTGGACCCTTTCCATGCAGGCTTTTGGTGGGAAAGGTCAAACCGTTGGTCACTCCACACAGTTCTTCAGACAGAGGTGTTGGTGCCTAACGAGTGTGCACAACTGATCGAAAACCAAAGTGCTTTTAATGGGCTTTGTCTGAGTTAAGTTATACCAGGCTGTTATTAAAATTTAAAATGATGCAGCCATGAAGAGCTATGGATCCAAACAAGGCCAGTGGCTCGTATCAGATCAGTTCGATAGTTAAAAAGCAGAGAGAAGCTTTTGGGTGAACTCTTTTAGATCTGAAGCAGTTGTGTCGCTGTTTATGAGCTGATCTAATAAAAGATCTTTGAAACCTCGATTCCCAGGCAGTTTTGTGACTTCTGTGCAGCCTCGTTCCAGAGCTGATTGTCTCTGCTGTAGGTCTGGGCTTGGGATTTCAGTGCTGACACCAAGGCCTTCTGCTTTCATTAGAACTGGGGAGTTCATTGGTTTTGATGTACCACTAAATTTGCTTTTGAGATTCCAGGATACAGGTGATCCTCCTGTGCAGAAACATTTCCACTCTGATTTTCATACCCAGGCAAATTGTAAAATACAGCTTTGTTCCCAAAATTGTTTCGTCCACCTCCTAGTTCCCTGTGATTGCTTCTCACTGCCCTGTCTGTGTTTGAGTTCCTTGGCTCGGTTGCCCATTTGCCTTTTTAGCCCAAAAGCCACTGGTTTGAGGGAAGGTGGCAGCTTTGTCATCCTGAACCAAGGCAGGCCCATGTTCTTGCCTCTTTTATCTTCCATAATTCCTGCTCAACCTTGAAATGTTTCTGAACTCCACCTGTTCCCTCAGTAGTCCCTCTGCACATAGAAGATGTATTTTAAATTCAGTGCTCATTTTTAATGTTAAGTGTGGATGCATAAAGCTTGCACAGTTCGTTATAAGCTTTAATTTGGATATTAAATACACCTGTTATGGTTTATCAGAGGTGGGCTGTAGGTGACAGGACCTTTGGTAGCTCAGCACCCTGAGCAGCCCTGTCTGTGTGCTCTGTCCACGGTGCAGGTCAACCAGCCGAAATTGCCGCTGCGAACTCTGGACCCCCGGATCCTGCCACGAGGCCCAGACTTCACCCCAGCCTTTGCTGACTTTGGGAGGCAAGCCCCCGGGGGAAGAAACGTGTCTGGAAGTGTGAGTTTACCCCAACTTGCTCCTTTAAAACCTGGCGTTAACACCGATGAAGTCCATCCTCAGGCTTTCGGGCCTCTCCCGCTGCGCCGGTGGCTCTGGTTTTGGCAGGATGAATGCAGGGGTGAGGTTTGCTTGGCTGACTAAGTTTAGGCACATTAGAGACCGTTGTGGATGTTTGTCACTGGTACGTATTGGCTTGGTCTCCTTCCCTTTTCCCCGTGTGAGGGGTGGAGGTGTTTCCACCCCAGGACCCGTCGGTCGTGGGTGCGGTCGCGCCGTCGTCGTACAACAACCCGGCGTCTGCGTGTCCTCGGGGGAGGCTGTGCCACAAAACACACCAACAGAGCGAGCAGATTTTACTAACACAAAAAATGCACACGGTGCCTGTGTGTTCTTGCTTTGTTTGTGCTTCCATGTGTTGCTGCAGTCACTTCATTCCTTGTTTCTTACCTTTTCTTCTGTCTTTTCTTCTTTTCCCTGTGTCTGGCTGTGCCCACATCCTGAAATCCCTCTCTGAATTCGTCACTCTTGCCTTTGCCATCTCTTTTCTTGGGGCACAGGTGCCCCCAGCATGTGCCACCCTGGAGGACAGACAGCGACTCCATTGGGGGCAATCATTGGTTTCCATCTCTTAAGATACATCTTAAGTGTATCTGTCCAGATGTGTCTAATGACACAGCCATCCTTGGTCTTTCAAACCTGCTGGTTTCAGAAGAGTTCTCTGAATCACCCTGACTTCCAAGTGTGCAGGTTTCCAGGAGTTAAACCTGGTGATTTTAACTCAGTGTAGCATCTTTGGTTCGGGAGCAGTGTCGTGGCCGGCGCCTCGTTCCGGGGTATCTTGGAGTAGCTTCGGTGCTGTGGTTTCTCTTGAGCACCATCTGGTCTACAAAACCCCCGAGGTCGACAGTGCTTCTCACGTTTAGGACTTGCAGGTTGTCCTGAGGTGCCTTCTCTGCCGTCCCGTGCTGAGTGTCCCGAGCCGCTCGGTGTCGTGGTAACGTCGCTGTCGCTCTTTCTCTCTCCGCAGGCCTGCAAAGTGCAGAGCAACCCTGGATTGCCCTCCCTGGCTCGGTGCGGGCCCCCAGCATGCCCTCTCTTGGTCTCGCCTCACCCACCATTGAGGAACCTGCCGATAGGGGTAAGCCAAATCCCCCCCCCCCCCCCCCCTTTTCCCCCCTTTGTAGAGTTGCCTTTTTCCCCCCAACACCCACTGTTGATAAAGAACGACTGGCAGAAAACTTTACAAAAAGGTGCAACCTTGTTTAAAAAAAAACCGAAACCAGACTTGCATTGTACCCCTCTAGGCAGTCTTCAGTGGTGGGTGGGACATCACCAGCTGAGGGCATGCTGGGACGTTGGCCTGAGCGGGATCCGCGAGGGTCTGCACTTTGCAGACCTGTGGAAAGGGGGAGAAAAGGTAAGTCCCGCTTACCCCGTTCATTTGGAGCATTCAGCACATAACATACATCTCACATTTGCGCCTTTGCAGAGCAGAGCCTCTCCTTGCCTTGTTCTGGAGGAGGGCTGGAAGGTGACCTTGTTCAGCCAGCCTGTCCTATGACGCCGGCAGTTGTAGGATCAGAGGGTTCGCAGCCCCCTGGCAATCCCAGACGTTTCCCTGGCATGGCAAACCCTGCGTGTGCTGCCTGTCCCCGGCCATCCCACCTCTGCAAGGCCATGCCCATGATCCATCCAATCCACTGCCTCTTCCTTGCCCCGAAATAACGTGGAGCAGCTCGGCGCTAACCAGCTTCCGGCACGTTGAGAATCTTTTGTGTTGCTTCTTTGGCTTTTGTCTTTATTTCCTTCTTTTCGCTTCAACGTGTTGTGTGAGTGTTTTTGGCACTAACAAATGTTGCATCAGGTGGCACAGGGGGTGTAATTGCACAGGAGCAGAATCCAGCTGGAAGGGCCTTTTGATGTAGGCAAGACGTTGGGTGAGGAGATGCAAACAGATAAATTGGAGAGGAGAGGACGGGTCAGTCCCCATGCTTGTGGCAGGATGAGTCTGCTTTGTCCTTCCTGAGAGGTGATGGATACTCGAGTCACCTCAATTCTTGTGCTTCTTGGAAGGCAGAGCCTCTCCCAGCATTGAAACTCAATTTTATCTTCTCCCTCAAAGCTTCTTGTAGAGAGAGAAGTGATTCTTTAATTCCTTGGATGTTTTAAAGCATTTCCGTGACTTGTGGCCTGAGTGGGAGCTCCAGGTTGGGCTGTGCTGCTCTGAGTCTTTGGCTCCTCTGCAGGAGTCTTGTCCCTTTTCTTTCTGCTTTCCTTTCCCCTCTCTTCATCCAAAGACAAGTAATGGAGTTTAACACAGGAACACTTGGTAACTGCTCCGTGCCATTGGTGGGAAAGGTTATCCCAGTGCAGGTGCCCCAGAACCACCTTTTCACATGGCCTGGGGTACAGAAGGCCAGGCCTGAGCCCAGGCACCTCTTGAACTTGCTGCCATGTAAATGTGGAACCAAAACCCCAGATTTTTTCTGTTAAAAGTTTGATCCATGTATTATTTTATTACACATTCAAAGGAAGCTGCTGTTCAAAACCTGATCGAACAGTTTGAACCAAGTTTACTCACATATATTGAAAACATGGAACCTCAAGGAAAGTCCTGGTTCTGTTGATGCACTGAAAGGTCTGGTCTTGAAGGCAGTTGGATGTGAGGAGGTTGTGACACGTGGCAGGCTGGTACTCAGGAGGTGCACAGGTGCTCCATGCACCCCTCAGTTTTCCCACACTCACCTCCTTCAGGGAGGGCTGTTTACTCTAAAAGGGAACATTTTTCATGGACCCTTCCCCGAGGAAGCTCCGGCCTCTGCGGCTCCGTCCCCGCACGTTACACCCCGACACGCCTGGGAGGTCCTTCAGCCCAGAGCTGCCTCTGTGCCGGACGTGGGGTGGCTGCAGGTCACCTCTCCTTGGCTTTACCCCTGTCCCTGGGGGCAGTAAACCCAAAGGTTTGGATTTGCAGGGCACCCTCCCAGCCTGGCTCTGGTTTCCAGGCCGCCTGCCTGGCAGGAGGTGTGTGATGAGCTGCTGTTGCGTTACCGTCTGGTTTTTCAGCTGGAGGGAAGTTTCTTCTCTCCACGTTTGCGGCGTGGTCAGAACCTGGGCAGCAGAACTGTGTGAACAGGTGCAGCAGCAGAGGGGGGTTGGGAAGGTGGGGCTGTGCTCAGGCTTTGCTGCGCCCTCCCAGTGCCGACCGAGGGCTCGGGGCGGGAGCGGGCAGGGACCGTAGGGAGGGATCGGTGGCTGCTTCAGGAACATGCCCGACACACAAAAGCTGGTGAAGGCTCCCTGTTCTCCCTGTCTTGTTCCGCTGTTGATTTCTCAGGAGCAATCAACTGGTGTGGTTGCCTTCCAAGCAGCTGAGGGTTGGATTTGATGACCTTGGAGGTCTTTTCCAACCTTAATGATGGTGTGAACTATGCCCGTGCCCAAAGGAGCTTGAATGTTCTGCTGGGTTATTTGTGTGTGTGCCAGGGGATCTGAACAGGGCTCTTCCTGGGTGATGGGGCAGCAGAGTGTGACACGCTGCTCCACGTAGCCCTGTCCCAGGCATTGCCTTGGCATACAGAGCATGTCATGGCATGAGGGTGTTGTCTTCTGACATCTTCCTCTGTTGCTGTTCTCCCACAAGGAAGCCCAGACAAGAGCTCCAGCAGTGCCAGTGACCGTGTTCATTTGCACACACTTACCTTGTGAAAGGCAAGTGGTTCAACTTACACATCCCACTCCTGCCTTGAAGGAGGATTTTGCTTTTTAATAATACAAGCCCAGGTTTGGGGCTGATCTATGACATAAGAGGCACCAGCCAAGAGCCCTTTCCTCCTCTTCAGTGAAGCTCTTGGAATAACCAGGATGCTTTGGCCTCTCTGGTGCTCATTGAATGCCTTTGTTGAGCAGAGCAGTGTTTGAAATGGCCCATCTTCCATGAGGGGCTGCCTGCTGCCCTCTGAGGAGACGAATTACCGCCGTGGGAAGTACCGGGTTTGATAACAGTTTTGTTATTGCGTTAATTTGTACCCTGAGGTTGGACATCTCTGATAAATGAGCTCAGAAATCTGAAGGAATGTGAGGGGGGAACACTATCCTGCCAGCACCTCGTACCTTTAGTCCTTAATGATAAGCCCTCAGATGATGAAGAGGGGGTTTGGGGGCATCTTGGGCTCTACCACTTGTACAACTGGTGAAAAACTCCCCAGTTTTGGCAGTTGTTGTGCCTGGTTTGTCCGGGAGGAGCGTCACGTTCCACAGGACTGCAGAGGCACTTGAGACAGTTTCAAAGCACTGTGCTCCCCACCCTTCTGTGAAACCACACAGAGTTTGTCCTACATCTGTTAGGATCCATATTTAGACAAGGCAGGAGCTGCACTGGTGCTCCTCCAGAGTGTTTTATGTAATTCCCATCTCAGAATGGCTCCGTTGGAAGCAATCGCCAGTAAAACTCAACGTTTCTGGCAGAGAATACAGAAATGCTGATTTATCGTAGTCTGATTGCCTGGGATGGCACATTTGAAATACACCTGTGAGGACTTAGTCCTTACACACACTTTGCTGTGGTGTCTCAGTTCTGCAGTTCCTGGTTTCCCAGAGGCCGTGTTGGCCCTGTTGGGTTCAGCGTCCGGAGCATCGCCGAGTCGGGTGGGCAGCGTCATCCCATATCTGCTTTGGGAAAAGCTGCCCGAGAGAAGCGTGTTTGGTGTCTCCATGTTCCCTCTGACCACCCTGGAGCAGTGTGTTGGGTCTGAGGGACTCCTCAGAGTCCCAGAGGAGGTGCTGGTGGTCGGTGGTGCCGTCGGCGGGTGTTGACGTGAGCCCAGAGTGTTTTATCCAGGATTGAGTTTAAAAGGGGATATAACAAGGAATGTTTTTGTCCTAGTTGTTGAATGTTGGACCGAGGAGATCTCAGCCGGGCCAGAGGAGGGAGCCCAGGAAGATCATCACTGTGTGTGTGAAGGAGGATGTCCACCTGAAGAAGGCGGAGAACGCCTGGAAGCCAAGCCTGAAGAGGGAAAACCAAACCGAGGACCCGGAAAATGTCAAAACCCAGGTGAGAGCTTTGGTGGGCACATCTGAGGGTACAGCACCCTTCCCCGGGGCAAGGGGGGTAACCTGCCTTCACCCTTGTGTCACACACTGCAAAAGGGCAAGGAATTCCAACTGCAATCCCAGCTTTCTCCTCTCTTGATGGTATTTTTCGTGTGTTTATCCTTGACCTGGAGTTTAAATGCCAGTCCTGTATGTTAGACTGGGAACACCAGACAACCTACTACCTCTCTTCCAGGACTGCTTTTCTATTGCTGTTTTACTGGAATATTTCTGTCCCCATCCTAAAGCAAACAGCCTCACACTTCCAGCACAGAACTTACTTTTCATCCCCTTTTAGACCATGTTTCTTCTCTGAACTTCACCAAGACTGAGGTTCCTCTGTAAAATCCCTCAGTTGGTCCTGCCCAGCCCAGCAAGCACCATCTGAAGCTCCCTCTGTCCTTCTCCCCCTCTCTCCTCTGTGGGACAGTCGCTCTGGGCAGAAGTGTTTGTCTGGTGGTCAAGCTTGTAATTTGTAGGATAGGTTGGGATGGTCTGGAAGGACACTGGAATTCTATTCTGGGAGCTAATGGTAGCATTGTCCTAATTATTATCATCCTGGAAAGTAAAAAACAAAATGCCTTAACCTGAGTATAAGAGAAGTGGTTGAAGGAGTCAGAGGCTGCTCCCTGTTGATATCAAGAAGAGCATTTCTGACAGGAAGGGCTTTGTGCCTCTGTCGCACTTGAAAAAAGCACTTGGGAGTTTCCAAAAATCCTTCCCCACAACCGTGGCCTTTGGTAGCCAAGTGAGAACTGGGGCTGGGCTGTGCAGAAGTGTGTGGTGTGTAACTCAGCTTCCTGGGCATCCCTGTGGGACACCTCCATCCATTCCCCTGGGACCTGCGTCCTGGCTCGTTCCTGGAAGCCCCTGGCCCCCTTTGTGCCTGACCTGGCAGTTTTTGTGTCGTGCAGGAGCTGTTCCGCAAGGTACGAAGCATCTTGAACAAGCTGACGCCCCAGATGTTCAACCAGCTCATGAAGCAGGTGACAGACCTGACGGTGGACACGGAGGAGAGGCTGAAAGGAGTCATTGACCTGGTCTTTGAGAAGGCCATCGACGAGCCCAGCTTCTCCGTGGCCTACGCCAACATGTGCCGGTGCCTGGTGACGGTAAGAGCCGCCCAATCCAGGGGGAAATGCCCCTGCATGGTGAACCCCTGGAGCTGCTGGGCAGGGACAGCAATGTGGGGAGAGACTCAGTTTCTGAGTGTGAAGGAGATGAATTAATGCTGCGTTTCTGGTTGTTGGCCGTGCCTGGGGCAGAGGGGGGATGTGTTTGGAGCTGAGGACTCTTCGCTCTGCCTGGTCGTGAGATGTGATGAGTCACGTTGGGGAGGTTCAGGGAATCATGGAATGGTTCATCATGGCTCATCCAGTCCCACCTGTGCTTTTTACCCCACATTAGGTTAATCCTGGGAAAATCTGGGCTGGAAACACCGACTATGGCTGTCTCTGTGCTTTTGGGGCTTCAGGGTGCTTTTGTGTAGGGATGCTCAGCTTGGTGGGTGTCTTCGAGTTTGGGGGAGCAGCTGGGTGCAAGAGCTGCAAGAGGAGAGAGTGGGGAAGGCATAATGTGGCTTCAAATGCCGATTAACACTGTTAATTTTAATAATTATCTAACCCTGGAAGCAGTTAGATTTCATAAGGCACAAGGTAGGAGGGATGAATGAATTAGTTTTAATATTTGTGCACTTAAGAAGGACTAGAAACAGCCTTCAAGTCTTTTTTTTTTCCAACAAGAAAAGGAAAGAAAGAAAAATCCGTTCCAATTTTATCAGGTACACGTGCAAAGGGAAGACTGCAGCACAAATCCTGAGTCTAGTCAGGACTAGGTCTGCCTTTAGACCCACCCCTCGTGCTGCTGGTTTGCAGGGGATTCACAGAATCATCTCATGGAATCCCAGGATGGTTTGGTTTGGGAGGAACCTTAAAGCCCATCCAGTGCCACCCCGTGCCATGGGCAGGGACACCTTCCACCCTCCCAGGTTGCTCCAGCCTGGCCTTGGACACTGCCAGGGATGGGGCAGCCACAGCTTCTCTGGGCAACCTGTGCCAGGGCCTCCCCCCTTCAGTGTCTCTCATTTCCAAGGGAGCCCAAGGTGCCAAGCCAGGCTGTCACCATTCCCAGATGGTGAATTTGGGACAAAATAACCCTTTTTCTTGCAGCAAAGGCTCGCGTCTTCAGCACATAACAGGAGTGTTTTTTAAGCAGTGGGTGTTTCTGAGGGATCCTGTGGATGGAAATGTAATCCATCCCCGGTCGTGTCAGCCAAGTTTGGAGTGTGACTTTACATCTGCAGTGTAAAACTCTGCTGGAAATCATGACGTGAGGCTTCACTTCCGCAGCCTCGTGGAGCACTGGGGCTCAGCATGAAGAACATAATAAAACATTATGGGTGGCTTACAGGAACTTTACTCCTCTGTGGAGTTTATCCCAATTTCTGCTGATGTTTTTCTTCCTTCCCCTGCAGCTGAAGGTGCCCATGGCAGACAAACCCGGGAGCACAGTAAATTTCCGCAAGTTGCTGTTAAATCGCTGCCAGAAGGAATTTGAAAAGGACAAGGCTGACGACGACGTCTTTGAAAAGAAGCAGAAAGAACTCGAAGCTGCCACCACTGTAAGTGGTATTTTTCCCCATAAATCTCAGAGCTCACTCAGAAAATTACTTCCTTTTGAGACAGCAGTCGATTCGGGGGGAGTTTTGGGGTGGATGGAGAGTTTGTTTCTGTCATCGTGGCTGAGGATAATAAAAAATATTTGCCTTGATAGCAGGTTTTTACCAGCATCCTTCAGGGCTTCAGGAGAAAAAGAGTAAACAGCGACTCTAAACTGGATCTTCTGCGGAGTTCTGTGCTCTGGGAGCGTGGTTTTATTGGGCTGTTCTCCTGTTTTGCAGCCAGAGGAGAAGACGCGGCTTCACGACGAGCTGGAAGAGGCCAAGGACAAAGCCCGGCGGAGATCCATCGGGAATATCAAGTTCATTGGGGAGCTGTTCAAGCTGAAGATGCTGACAGAGGCCATCATGCACGACTGTGTGGTGAAGCTGCTCAAGAACCACGACGAGGAGTCCCTCGAGTGCCTTTGCCGCCTGCTCACGACCATTGGCAAGGACCTGGACTTCGAGAAGGCAAAGGTGGGGCAGGAGCAGGAGCAAGGGATGAGGCTCCATGGGCAGGGCTGGAAACATGGGTGTGGAGTGTTTTTGTTTGAGGATTTGGTTTTCCTTCAGGAATTTCCATGCAGCGTGAGGAATTCATCCGCTCTGCTGTGGCTGTTTCGTCATGACCTGGCCTCGCTCCCTGCTCTGTAATAGATTCTGTGTCGTTCCCAACAGTGCTCTCCAGTTGTTGTTTCCAAAGATTTCATCCAAACACAAAGTCCAGAAGTGCTCAACACTTATATTTTCCAAATTGGATGTACCTCTTTACTTGTAGTTCCCAAAACGTTAATACTTAAGAGTTGTCTCTGCGTCACTGAAAGTTTATGTTACCTACAAAATCCACCATTTAATTGTGTTGGTCAGTTTAAATCTAAAAACCCCTCATTAACTGGTCCAAACCCTGACCTGAGCCTTGGGGGTGCCTTTATTTTGTGTCATCCTTGTCTCCAGCTGGGCTGGGCTGGGGCAGCTGCTCTGTAGCAGCAGCACTCCCATGTCCTCCTCCCCATTTTCCAGCACATGTGTCTGGAGCACGGAAGATTACACACTCCGTGAGCTTCTCTTGGCACAATCTGCTTCTCCTTTGCAAAAACCAGGCTTGGGATGAAAACCTCAAGGTTTTTGCCAGAAATCAGTGGGACTCAGCTCTGGAAACAAACGGAGCTAATTGTGTTCAGCTGCCCTGGGCAGGGAGTTCCCTCTCCACGTGCTGGATCTCAGGGATCATGGTGGGTCAATCCTGAGCCTTAAGGGGAAGCACTTCCCCAAAGTGTTCTTTGAGCTCTGACCAAAACAGTGAAGTTTGTCAGCAGTCCCAGGTTGACCCTCCTGTGCTGTGAACACAGCAGTGTTACCAACACCGGTGTGACAGTGCCAGAAACAGGGATTGAATCCCCATCTGCTTTGGGAACAAAACAGGGTCTGACTTGTAAGCTGAGGTCAGGCTGGATGAGGCCTGGATGCTGTTCTGGTCTTTTTGAGTACTGTAAAAGGCAACATTTTGGGGCTCTGTCGGATCCTGGACTTTCAAGCTGTGGCACAGTAGAGCAAGGGGGTTATTGTAGATGCTGTGTCCTGTCTTTGGGATGTCTTATTTTTATCAAGACTGAGTGAGAATCCTTGTTAATGGGGTAGACATTTTATTACGTGTTTTTATTGAACCCGGAGTGTTACTCATTGCTGTAATTAAAACTTCTGAACAAAGGCCACTGGAAATATTTCCCCGTCATTCCCAGCTTTGGAAACATTTGCTCTCAGAGCTGGAACTTTCCAAAGCAAGGGCAGAACCAAATTTTAATGAGGTTTTTCTTGTTTGTTTAACTACAAAGGCAAGGTTTTTAGTGAAGGGAATGGGAAACACTTTAGAAAACTGCCCTGAAAGTCTTTATTTAAAACAGCCCAAGCCCTCATTTGGGAAAAAAGCTTTTTGGAGCCCGACGAGCCAAATTTAGACCTGACAGAGGCTCCTCTAATGATACAGTTTCATGGCTTAGTATGAACTGATTGGGATTCCATCACATCATGGTTTTTTGGATGAAAAGGGGTTGTGGGATTTTATCCTTCAGTGCAGCCTGTTAAACTGCTCTTGCTGGGATTTGTGGTGCTGCTGCTCAGCCTGGCCCAGCTCAGACAGCTGGGGAGTGAACCATGGAATGGTGTGACCAGGGTTAGTTTTGTACCCATTTAGTTCCCTGAGCCACTTTTTCTTGGGCTGGGGTGAGCACAGGGAGGAACTGAGATATATTTTTAATGGATGTAATGTTTACTGTGCACATGCAGAGGGTGTTGATTGTTTGGGTAATTAAAAACACAGGGAAGGTGTGTGCCCACACACTTGGGCCTCACTGCCTGCACATCCCACCTGGAAGGGGTGTGCAGGAGCCAGCAGTCACCTCTCTGGAGAGCAGCTCCATGTCCCCAGGAATACTGGAATGCAGGACCCACTGACTCCCCCCAAAGGAGTATTTTCATTTTCCTCCACAACACACTGATGCCGATGTTTTTCTTGTCCAGCCACGCATGGACCAGTATTTTAATCAGATGGAGAAGATTGTGAAAGAGAGGAAAACCTCCTCAAGGATTCGGTTCATGCTCCAGGATGTGATAGACCTAAGGCTGGTAGGTGCCAACTGCATTGAATCAGGGAATCCCAGGATGGTTTGGGTTGGGAGGGACCTTAAAGCCTGTCCAGACCCACCTCCTGCCATGGGCAGGGACACCTTCCCCTAGCCCAGGTTGCTCCAAGCCCTGTCCAACCTGGCCTTGGACACTTCCAGGGATGGGGCAGTCACAGCTTCTCTGGGCACCCTGTACCAGGGCCTCCCCACCCTCCCAGCCAACATTTCCTTCCCAATATCCCATCTAGCCTTGCTCTCTGGCAGTGGGAAGCCATTCCCTGTGTCCTGTCCCTCCATCCCTTGTCCCCAGTCCCTCTCCAGCTCTTCTGGAGCCCCTTTAGGCCCTGGAAGGGGCTCTCAGGTCTCCCCAAAACCCTCTCTTCTCCAGGTGAACTTCCCCAGCTTTCCCAGCCTGTCACGTTCCCTTGCATGTCTGGGCTGGAAGAGCTCTCATCCAAGAGCAGGGATTTACAGCACAAGTGGGATTTAGGGGGAGATCTGTGCTCCTTCTCCCAAAAATCTGTTCAAGGACAGGAAATCTCTCCTTTGCCCTGAGGGTGCCCGTGGTCAGCACAAGTGCAGTGCAGGGTGAAGATGTGACCGTGTGTGGTACAAACCTTCCCAGCACCATTCATTTCCCCTTAGAGGAAGACAAATCCGGTGTCAGCTCAGATTTGGCCACCAGACAGCCTGACCAAAGGCCTGAGAGGGTCTTGCTCAGAGCCCAAACAGCTGGTTTGGAGCTGGTTTGGGTTTTTTGAAGGCTGCAGTCACTGCTTTGGCTGCAGGGCCCATAATTACCCCCAGAGCTGTGCTGAGGCTGTAGCAGGATAAGGGCCAGTCTGGTTATTCCAGGCCTGGAAGGGTCTGGGCAGTGCATGGCTGAATGGGCACATCAGCAGGGGAAATGTTCTGTGCAGAGGCAGCTGCACCTCTCTCTGCAGGATTCCTGTCTCAACCATCACCATCCCTGGAGTGCCAAAGCACCAGCTCCACATAAAATCAGTCAGTTCTTGTTTTTTTATTTTCAGGGTTTCATTTTTTCTCTCAAGCTCGGAGGAAAGGCTCCAATAACTGTGTCAGTCATAAACAGAGAGTGACAGCAGCCTCCCTCTAGTCCTTCTCTCTCCTCTGAACCTAGAAAGAGTGGGAAGCTGGGAATGTGCAGCTGCTGGGGGTTCACATGGCTTGAATTCAGTCAGGTCTTCACTGCAGCCTCCATTCTCCAGCACAAGCTCTGTACCAGAGTACATCACTTTGGCCTCTGGTGCTGGAATAACCATGTCCCCAACGTGTCCCAGCTCCACAGAATTTCCCCAGCCCCTCTCAGACATGACAAGGGTGGGAGGATTAGGCCTTGTTTGTGATATTTGAATTCCCTGGAAGTTTCCTCGAGCACGTGTTTGCCTCTTCCCCAGTGCAACTGGGTGTCCAGGAGAGCAGATCAGGGCCCCAAGACCATCGAGCAGATCCATAAAGAAGCCAAGATTGAAGAGCAGGAAGAACAGAGGAAGGTACAACAACTCATGACCAAAGACAAGAGGAGACCAGGTAAAGTAAAAGCCACATTGGCTGCTCATTTCACATCCAGTGGCCACACAGGGAACCCCACAGAAAAGAGAACAATCTCTTGGGTTTGCTTTGTTCCTGAATGTAGAGAGCAAAGAGAATCGAGGCCTGATTATGGCAGAGGCTGGAGAGACTTGCCTTGGATTGGCTGTGGGGATTTTTCAGGGGCAAATCCCGTGGGTGAAAAGAACCAAGCACAAGCCAATAGTGCTGAACTTTTCCATTCGTGCAAATCCTGTTTGATTTGTGACAGGCTGCCAGGAATCTGGGAAACAAGTTATTACATAGGAGTCAGATTTGCCATCCATTCTCGTTCACCACAGTCTCATTTCAGGGGAATAGCACTTAATTTGGAGAGTAACCATGTTGTCTTCAGCTGTTAAACTTGTGAGGTGCTGACTGTGTATGAAGGACTGTCTTGACATTACCTTAAACTGCTCCTGGCCCTTGGGAGTGACTGGGAAAATGAGCCCTGGCACAGAGCAGGGCAAGGAGAAAGTCACCTTTGGGATTCTTTAGTACTGAGGATTGTCAAGTGAAAGTGCTTTGAAAATAGAGCATAAAGAAAATACATGTAGATTATGTTTAAATTATCCTAAAAGTGGCATCAGGAGAAGGTGAGGAACCTGGGAGTGCCTGAGGGGTTCTTTGTCAGACCAAGCACTGCTGAAATGCGTGGAACAAGTGTGGTCAGGGAAGGCATTTCACCTGTTCCTCCCGTGGGCTGTGAACACACAACATCCAGAGCTGTGTCAGAGCTCTGTGTCCAGAGCACAGGGAGATCCAACCAGGAACAGTCCCTACCAAAACCAGCCCTTAAAGTACTGAGAGCTTTTATGTCAAGGCTGTTTTGTAAGAATAAAGTCAGACAGGCTGGTTGTGTCATCTTAGTGTGAAGAAAGGCTGCAAAAGATGTTCCTCAGCCCGGATGTGCCAGGCTGGTCCCTCTCCTTGGAGCCTGGAGGCGACTGGGGGATGGACGTAGAGCCTGGAGCAGTGGGATGAGCTGAGGGTGGTTGTGTTTGTTGCCTGCAGGTGTCCCACGGGTGGATGAAGGCGGTTGGAACACTGTGCAGGGGGCAAAGAACAGCAGAGTGCTGGACCCCACCAAGTTCCTTAAAATCACCAAGGTAGGTGCCAGCACTGGGCTCCTTCAGAGCAGTAAAAATGCCAAGGTCTTGCCTTACTTGATGTGCCCTCCAGGAGAGACTGGGACAGTGTGTACAGGGCAGAACTTGGGGCTGGGATGTTTTGAATCCCCAGAGTTAATACTGTGCATAAATAAAGCACAAGGGAAGGCTCTGTTATCTTCTGGATGTTTCTGTTCTGTTTGTTCTGAGGCAGAGGAGCGTGCAGACATTCTTCCTCAGGTTCACAGTGTCCTGGTCACCCAGTTCTTGTAGTTGGAAAATCTGCATTTCATTCAGTCATGAGAACGTGAGTCAGGTTGTTGTGTGAGATGGGGGTGCAGCACATCCCTGGCTGTTACTGAGGGGTCTCAGACACCTGTCTGATGGAATTCCTTGGCTGCCTCAAGTTCTCAAGACCCTGTTCTGACACTGCTCCTCAATAAAAGGAGGAGGCCGTGTCCAATATGATGTGTCACTGATGGCAGGATTGAAAGGATCGGGGAGAATGGGAAGAACTGTGTCTCCTTTCAGAGTGTTTCTGGACCTCTGTGGCCTGGTTGCATCCCCCAGTATGTGATAAACTTTGAGAGCCATCTTCCAGAGGAGCATCTTCCTTTATTTCACCATCAGAGTGGTGGGTTTGGGACATTTTGTCAGGCTGAAGGTTTAGGGAAGTTGGAGATTTCTCCTTTTTTAATCTTCAGAACAGGTCTGGGTTTTCTCACCAAGGAGAACTCCGGCCTTCACATAAATCAGGTGACTCTTAAACGTTCCCTTGTCCCACTTAATGTCACTCTCCCTGAATTTTACACTCAGTGCTTGGATTCCTGCAAAGCTGTAAACCAGGACCTGGACAGACTACAGCCCTTCTGCAAATTCAATCAGTTTGTTCCCTCTGGAAGTGATAAAACAGACTCCAGATCTTCATTAGCAGGAGGGATTCATCCTGTTCTGCCTGGGCTTTTCATCTGGGAAAAGCCCTTCTCCTCCGTTCCATACAAATGGAGCTGGTTCCACAGCAGCTGCTTTGTTGGAAGGAGAGAGGAGCTCACCAGAGATCTGTGGGGTCACAACCTCCTGGTCAATAAATTCACCCACTGAGCACTGTAAAATCCATGTTCTGTCCTTGTCAGACACCACTTACCTCCAAGTTCTGCGACCTGTTGTCATCCTTCACCCTCTGGATTCTGTTTGTTGCCCTTCAGATCCCCCCAAAAGCCGTGACTGGAGGGTTGAATGGACAGTGGAACTGGTTTGCACATCACAAACAAACTGAACATCTTCCAGTTTCTGATATACTGAGCTTTTCCACCTTACTGAGCTTCAGAACTCCCAGGAAAAAAGAAGCTCCTGATCACTTGAATGTCAGTGGTTTTCACTGGCCTTTGGAAGAGGCTCTTTGTGATGCCCTTTGTTGTTGATGTCCTCTGTCTTTGGCCAGGGTTTGGTCTTCCAAAAATGTGTTAAAGTGTATTTTGATGTTCACAGAACAGGGATTGTTGCCAAAAAATCCCCCATTTGTAATGAAACTGTACGATTTGCCCTTGTCATGGACCATCGTGGTGTGTTTTACAGCCCACAATAGATGAGAAGATTCAGCTCGTGCCTAAAGCCCAGTTGGGCAGCTGGGGGAAGGGCAGCAGTGGTGGAGCCAAGGCAAGCGAGATGGGTAAGTTGGGATGGATCCTCACCCTGGGCTCTGCTGCCAGAGAGCAGGTCTGGGTGGGGTTCACAGAACCACAGAACCATGGAATAGCCTGAGCTGGAAGAGACCCACAGGGATCATCGAAGTCCAACTCCTGGCCCTGCACAAAACACCCCAATTTCCCAGCCTATGGCCAGGACACTGCTTGCCCTCCTCTGCACCCCAGGGTTGCAGCTAAACCTCTTGAAGTAGCAGACAGGGCTGTTTCTGTCCATAAGTCACAGAATCCCAGAATGGTTTGGGTTGGGAGGGACCTTAGAGCTCATCTCATTCCATGCCCTGCCATGGCCAGGGACACCTTCTGGTGTGGGGAAGGTCCAGGGGATCCTGCTCCACTTAGGGATCAGCTGTCCACGTACAGCTCCTCAGCCCACATCCCCAGCCATGTGTCCACAGAATCACAGAATATCCTGAGCTGGAAGGGACCCACAAGGATTGAGTCCCACTCCTGGCCCTGCACAGACACCCCAACAGTCCCTCCATGTCCCTCAGAACACTGTCCAAATGCTCCTGGAGCTCTGGCAGCCTTGGTGCTGTGCCCACTGCCCTGGAGAGCCTGGTCAGTGCCAACCACCCTCTGGGGAGAGGGATGATCACCCCTTTTCCTGAGATCCAAACTAACCCTCCCTGGCACAGCTCCAGCCATTCCCTGGGTCCTGTCACTGGGCACAGAGAGCAGAGGTCAGAGCTGCCCCTCAGGAGGAAGCTGCAGACCCCGAAGAGTCTCCTCCCCTCCCTGTGTGCCCTCCTGACAGTCAGGGCTGAAGCAGGGCAGGACCAGCCTTTTCCCTGCAGTTCTCTCCCCATCACTCCAAACCCAGCTGCTGTGTCACTCTGTGATGCCGAGGTGTCACCACTCCTGACCTCGTCGCTCTGCTCTGTTCTTTACAATCCCCAGACTCCTTGCGACCAAGTGCCACAAGTCTGAACAGGTTTTCTGCCCTGCAGCCTCCAGTCTCCCCCGTTTCTGCCTCATCCGCATCTTCCGAACTCGAATCCCGCAGGGCCTTAACGAGGTGAGTGTTGCTCTTGGCTACCTCTGCATCTGCACTTCACACCTGCTGCTCTGCCTGCCAGCACTCAGAAAGAATTCCTTGCCTTTCCAGGAATGGCTGTGTCTGTTTTCCCCTCTGAGTTAACTTTAAACACGTGTGGATTTTAAAATATCGTGGGAGAGACGGGTGGAATTAATTTTTAAAGCCGTTTCGATGAATGTTTTAGTTTCCACTTCACCCTTCAGCTAAGGGTGGTTGTTTATAACAGATTAAAAGCTCTTCAGATAAAATGTGGTAGTAAATAGGTTGGATTTAATGGCTGTGAATTCAGCCAGGTCAGCAGGTTTATTTATACAGAAAAACAGACCTAAAACCTTGCAGAAATGTGCCTAAAGTACCGTGTGTGACCCTTCCCATCAGGTGTGACTGACCTGGCCATGCTCCCACATCCCACAAAAGGCTGTACAGCCTCTCACACACCCTGATTCCATCAGGGCTGCAGCCACTCCAGCTTGTAGCATGAAACATGTATTAACCCTCAATAATTTATTAGCTCTAGACATGTTTTATAAATGTACAGTTCATTTAAAATGCCACTGGTTCTTCCTTCCAGTACACATGAGCTGCTGTTGTGTTTTCCTGGGTTGTGCCTCTAATCTTTTCCCTCCTATTTCACCTGAAACTTGAGCTTAACTGGAAATTGTTCCATTTTGGAATTGGTTTGCCCATCTTATTCATTAACACAATAATTAATAGGGCAGGTCCCTGTCACCTGTTGCTGGGAGCCTTCACTGTTTGGAAGGTATTTTTAAGTAAATGGGTAAAAAATAGAAGTCTCATGGAATCACAGAATGGTTTGTATGGGAGGGACCTTAAAGACCATCCTGTTCCACCCCTGCCATGGGCTGGGACACCTTCCACTATCCCAGGTTGCTCCAAGCCCTGTCCAACCTGGCCTTGGACACTTCCAGGGATGGGGCAGCCACAGCTTCTCTGGGCACCCTGCCAGGGCCTCCCCACCCTCACAGCCAGAAATTCCTTCCCAATATCCAATCTAAATATCTCATCCCATTTCACAGTAGAACAGAGCCTTTGCTCATATACTCCATTGTTTCACGTGTCAAAAAGGTGCTGTAGGAGCATCATTGTTTTTCCATGTGTTCTCTAGGAAGCGTTGGCTCTGCCTGTCCACTCTGGATGTTTGTGTTTGTGTGTCTCTGAGACTGAGTTAATTTCCATTATATTCTGTGTAGCTACAACTGTAAAAGTTGAGTGAGGTTTGGGTCATGGAGTTGTTTTTCCCTGCAGTTACTCTAAAGCCATGGAGTGCCTTTCCTAGCAGGGGTTGCTTGAGCCACATCCCCTGAGTGTGTTTCTGTCCCGCAGTCGCGGGAGCACGGGCAGGGAGAAGAACGACAAACCTCTGCCCCCTTCCCTGTCCCGCCCCAACACGTTCCTGCGGGGCAGCAGCAGCAAAGAGCTGCTCCTGGACAATCAGGCGCAGGAGGAGCAGCGCAGGGAGATGCTGGAGACGGTGAAGCAGCTGACGGGCGGGATGGAGATGGACAGGAACAGCACCGAGGCGGAGAGGAGCAAAGCCAAGGAACCCGGTGAGCGGCTCCTCCACGCTCGGGGGGTTCTGGAGGTGTGAAAAGGCACAAGGGAAAACCTGCCAGGAGCAGAGACAGGTGTCTGTGCAGGGGTGGGAAGTGTTGTCAGGCGGGGGCACAGCTGAGTCAGGCAGGCCTGGGCCTCATCCCTCTCACCAGCTCCTCCGTAGGATCCGTGGACCTGAAAGGCTGCAGGAACCGGCACAGCACCCCCCCACCATCCTGTCACTGTCCCACTGGTTTATGGGCTCATATCAGTGTCAGTTCTTCAGAAATGCTTCTTCAGTGCCCAGTAAAGCCTTATCTGCCCTTTCCAAGCATTCCCCAGGGCCAGGGCAGGGATTTGGGTCTGGGGCAGGGGGTTCACAGCAGCTTTTTGGTGCTGTGTTGTTGCCAGCCCTCCTTCCGAGCCAGGTTTGGCACAGCGGGGGGGTGGCACCCACTGGGGTGACTCATCTGTCACCTTGTTGGTGCTGCAGCTCCTGCCTTTCCCTCCTGCCAGCTGGAGCTGATTTGTTAGTGAGAAAACACTGAGGACACTTAGGGTGATGTTCCCTGTGGACAGAACCTTTATGATAAGTCCAGTGTTCTGCTCCATCCCTGGGAAACATCTCCACTGCCGCGGACAGCACACGCTCCTTGTGGAGCTTTGGGATGTTGTAGAGGACTCCATGGGACCAGGGTTTTGGGATGTGATCAGGACATCGCCTTGGGCTGCTGCCTGTTGCAGTCAGTGCTTTAACTTTGCCATGTCCTGCACCAGCTCCCAGTTAATTATTTCATGTTGATGGAGAGCTTTGAAGGTGCTCCACCTGTGCCACTGCCAGCTGTGCTCCTGCAAGACCAAGTTACAGGAATACTGGGAGTTCACGGGGATGATGGAGCTGGGAAAGAATCCCAGAATGGTTTGGGTTGGAAGGGACCTTAAAGCCCATCTCATTCCACCCCCTGCCATGGGCAGGGACACCTTCCACTAGCCCAGGTTGCTCCAAGGCCCGTCCAAAGAGTGCCCTGTGCCTGAGGATGGGACAGGGAACACACCTGCTCCAGTGGCTCCTGTTTTCAGAATGTCATCTCTAAAATGATGCTGGTTTTCCTTTCCCAAACATGTTTTTTTTGTTGTGTTTCCATCAGCCAAGCCAGAAGCTCCTCCAGCTCCAGTGCAAGAAAAGCCTTCACTGTCGGAAGAGGAAATAGAGAGAAAATGCAAATCTATCATTGATGAGTTCTTGCATATTAATGATTTTAAGGTAAGCAAGATGAAAGCCTCACTTAGCAGAAAGCTCTGCAGGGCTGGAGTGCTTTCTCTGCAGGAACTGTGTGAGCCCCCAGCCCACACAGAGGCAGCAGAACTGGTGGGGACAGACAAAATCTGGGCAGCAGCAGCAGCTCTGTGAACGTTTTTAGGACACTTGTCTCCCAAACCCATTTTCTGCCCTGCTGGTAATAGGAAAAATAGCCCAGGCTGTGTGTTTTAAGTAGCAAGATGTATGTGATCTGTCATGAATCACTGAGCAGCTCCATAATAACAGCAATTTTGGAAGCAGAAAAACTAGTGGGAAAATAAACAGAGGTTTTCATTTAGTTATCAAAGCATGTGCTGTTCTGATCTGGAGGCAGATAAAGCAATACTAAATATTGAACAAACCACTCCAGAGGATTTTTAATAAACATTGGAAATTACTGAGCAGCTGTCATCACTTCCTAGTTAAAAGGTTGAAATTTTGTTTCCCTTGTAAAAGGGTTTTTTAGCTCGCCCAGGGAGTTTGCAAGAAGTGTTGCATTGGCTGCGAAGCTGCTTCGTTTGATCTTCCACTGAAAGAAATTTTAAAACCTGCCAAGTTTGAAATGGCAGCACTTGGGAGTTGCTGGTTTGGCACCCTAAAAGCAGAGTTGCTGCTTCCATTTCATAAGGCTTCCAATTAATAATCGGAAAGAGGAATATTCTCGTGATGGAGTGTTTTGAGTTCACATCTAGTTATTAGGATAAATTATTAAATACTGGTTTGGAGAGGAAAAACCCTGCTTTGATTGGCAGTGTGCTGCAAAGGGCTGGCCTGGGGCAGGGGGCTGCTGAGCCAAGGAGCCTCCACTCCTTTTCCTTCTTAGGATGGACTCCAAAGTTCCCTCTGGATGTTTGGGGTGAAGGAGCTGCTTTGGTTCTCTGTTCGCAAATGCAGCGATGAATTTCTGTGGCAGGGTGGAAATGGAGCTGAATTCCACTAGACAGGGCAGGGCTGGTTAAAATCCATGGGATCAGGCTGTTTGTTTGCACCAGGGGTTACTGGATAGTGGGGAATTCTTGGTGCTCTTCAGGTGCAGCAAAGCTTAAACTCAGTTTAAACTCGTGTTCTTGCAGCTGCCCCTGAGGGAGTCACCGGGGTGCAGGTGATGTGAACATTGTGTCACTCCTCAGGAGTCTGGTCTTCTGAGTTTGACTTACCTGTGGATTCAAACTGCTGAGCTGGAGCTGTGCACCCGTGTGTGGTGACAGCAGGGTCAGCCAACAGCATTCCCTGTGTGTCCTGGGGCACTGGGATCCATTGGGCACTGGCTGGGACCACCAGGCTTCTGACCTGTGTAAAGGAGCCATTCAAAACCTGTGGAAACGCGTGTGGGGTGTCGGGTGTGGATCCCTCGAGGCACAGCCTGGTCACAGAGCAGGGGTCTGTGCTCAGGAAGCCCCTGAGCTCTGTGGGCTGGACCCAGAAGGTCCTGGTGATGGCAGTGGGGATTTTTGATGTGTGGCACTGAGCGCTGCTCTGGGAGTCTCTATTGAAGTGTTTTCTTTGCTTGGGTTACAAAAGTGCTCAGCCCAGAAAGGAGGAGCTTTAGAAAGGGGAGATTTGCCTCCAAACACTCCTCAACTGTTTTTTGCCTCTTGATGTGATGTGAGTTTGTAACATTGGCATTTGTGCCAGGTCATATCAGTGACAGATCTAACCTGGTGCCCTCTTTTTCACTTGGCTTGATGTTTAATGCAATGAGAGGTGTTTTGAGGGCATCCAGAAGACAATTCTCTCCTTTCACTGGGCAGCCAAACTGTGGCCTGGAATGCAATTGTGTGCTTTAAAAATTGTTGCCTGGGTGGTATAAATTCCATTATTATTCTATTATTCCATTATTCTTCTCTTATTCCATTATTAATATTACTGTTGTTATTGTTATTACTCAGTTGCCACCTCAGTGGCGATTCGTGATGAGGTTCCTGGTTCAGCACTTGGCCTGGCAGCCTCACTAAAAGCTCATTTCCCCCAAATTCCCTGCTGTTAGAGCAGCAAGTGCTGCTGTGCCCCGTGGCTGGTGTTCCCAGCTCAGGGTGCCCGTGTTGTCCCGCAGGAAGCGATGCAGTGCGTGGAGGAGCTCAGCACCCAGAACCTGCTGCCCGTGTTCGTGCGCGTGGGAGTGGAGTCGACGCTGGAGCGGAGTCAGATCACCAGGGATCACATGGGCCAGTTGTTGCATCAGTTGGTGCAGTCGGGAAAGCTGAGCAAGCAGGATTTCTTCAAGGGGTTGGTATTCTGCATCCGTGGGACGGGTTCTTTCCTCAGTGTTCCCTGCGAGTGGACGCTGTGCTGGAGAGGAAGGGTTGCCCACCTTGCTTTGGTGTCCTGCCCTCTCCACACATTCCTTTTGAAGGAGTATTTTCACCTTGGTCTATTTGTAATACAACTATTGTAATCTATTTTAAGTACTTCAGATGGTTTTAGTGAATTGTGGCAGTTTGAGCCACATTAGAAATCCAAAATCCAATTTCCAGGCTTCCCCCCACCCCTCCCCACAATTTATCTCAACACCGGAGAGAAACTTTCAGGCCAGAGGCTTCTATAGGGGAAGGGAAAGTATATACATTTATTTTACACAAATAAATATACTGTACAAACTAAAAGCAGCTATATATATATATATATATATTTACATTTCTGTCAGTCCTTTTAAGCTCCTCCCTTTAACTTTAGTCCAGGAGCAGCCTTTCAAGGCTGATATGTAACACAGTCTCTGTCTCGTGGGAGTGTTCTGGGCCTGAATGCTCGTAAATGCATTCATATTTATATCAGTATTTATTTCTAAGCAGATCTGGAGGTGTCTGTTTAATTGTGTGTGTTTAGATCTCTGTTCTGTCATACATTTGTCCGTGTTTGTTTTGGCAAATCACTGAATATGACTGAAAGAGGAAGAATTCAGAAACCTTCATGTGGCATTAATACCTGGAGGCTCTTCAGCCGGAGGTCCTGTTCATCCACAGAGCTGCAGCTGCTCTCCCACTGGGAAAAAGGCTTTACCCACGTGATGCTGTTTCTCAGGACACCTCACCTTGGAGTGGATGAGTCCTCAAGGGGCTGAGGAGGAAAACGTGCACCAGATGGGCTAAACCTGCCCCAGGAGACCCAAGTTTTGGCTGCTGGCTCATTTCATCTCTCTGGGTTTTGTGTTCCCAGCCTGGTGTCCCATCCTAAAAGGATCCATGTTCCCAGGGAGGTCCCTGGCACTGCTCATAGAGCAGGGTGGGTAAAACAGAGATAACCACAAGCACAGCCAGTGAACAAGCAGAAGAAATAACACTTCAGGCACTGAGTTTCTGAGGAGTTGGCTCTGGTGGTTGCTGCTTCTGTTTGAATCCTGTGCCATCGTGGTATCGCTCCAACGGGGATCTCCCTGTGCCTGTGGCTGTCCCTGGATTTCACTGGACTCACAGGAAAAGTTCAGGCAGCCTGAGCTCAAAACCATATGGACCAGCAGGAAAAGTGTATCTCCACAGGGAGTACACTCATGTCCACACAGCACTGGTGGTCAGAAGGGCTTGATTGAAGGGATGCATTTCCATAATGGACTGTGATTGAAGCTGTTCCGGTGTTCCCTGGAGTGTGGATAAGTGGTTGGGATGGCAAATAAGTAGGATCATGATGAAACAGTGGGATGTGGGGTCTGAATGTGGCAAAAACAACAGGAAATGGCTCCTGGAGATGATGAAAGGGCAAGTGGGTCTCGGGGTGCATGAGGAGAACACCAAAACCCACTTCACTTACGCAGAGAAATCACCATGGAATGAGGGGTGTGGGATGAGACCTGGTCCCAACCACGTCTATGAGATGCACAACAGGAAACCAGTTTCTGGCAGAAAGGCTTGGACAGACCTGGGCTGAAGGAGCAGCAGAGGATGCAAAGAACAAAGCAAAGGAGGTGGTTTCTGGGTCTGAAGCACGAGGGAAAATGTGCATTTACAGTCACTAAACTAGACCCTGGAATTTTCAAGGTTTTCGAGGAGAAAAGAACCATGACAACAACTGGAAGGAGAGCAGAAAAAGGATCATCTGGTACCAGGCTCCTGCAAGGGTTGTGGGAAAGAAGAGTTTTGAGCCATTCTGGAAACTGTGTCACTGGGGAGCAGTTCTGTAATTCCTGCTGCAGATGGAAACCCCCTCTGCTGAGCTGAACTCCTCTGTGCTGTGTGATGTACTCACAGACATTCCACTGCCTCCCTCACATTTGGAATTCCATTATGATTAACCCCCTTCTCTAAACGTTTGGATATTTTTAAGGAAGTTGTGTTTATCTGATGGTTCATATTTATAGGCAGAAATGCTTTATAGGTGTTACGAGTCAACAAATGATTTGGTACTGGGATGTAAGAATTATTGTTTCTTGCTTTCTTGGCTATATCTGCTGGTTGTACAAAAGATGATGCTTTTTCCACATATTCTCCGTGTTACTGCATGGAGAAATTCACTCCTGGCAGTTTGGAAGCACGGAAAGCATAAAGTGGCAATAGTTTTATTACTTTTTGATTCTCCTCACTCCTCTCTCTCTTTACTCCTCTCTACTGTAACAAAAGGTTCTTAAAGTGCAGATTTGCTTTGCAGGAAAAGTTTCCAGTTAAATATTATTTAACATTTGATGTTTTTCCTTCTCCTTTCAAAGCTTTTCAGAGACCTTGGAGATGGCAGATGACATGGCCATAGATATACCCCATATCTGGTTGTACCTGGCTGAGTTGGTGACCCCCATGTTAAAAGAAGGAGGAATCTCTATGAGAGAACTTATACAGTAAGTGATGCTTTTCCAGCTATTCTGTAGTATTTTCATGGCAGTAGGTAAAGGATGAGCAGTGCCAGAGGCTCAGCTTCCCATGGGAGTTGATGAAAAGCTTGTTGAACATCAGTCGGGATCGGCACTGGACTGAGAGCTGTGCTGGGAAGGGACTTTGGTGCTTTCAGTCTTGGAGAAGGGTTTTATCCATAAATCTACTTCAACCCTGTTTGCTTCAGCTGAGCTTAAAAATACCCAAGAGTTGTACAGTGGAGTCATTTGGGAGCACAGAGGTTCTGGGAATTAGACTTGAAGAGAGCAAAGCATCGCACAGGAGTCTGTGTGGCTCAGGGGAGGAACTGAAGGAGGGCAGGGATAAATGGGATATTGGGAAGGAATTCTTCCCTGTGAGGGTGGGGAGGCCCTGGCACAGGTTGCCCAGAGAAGCTATGGCTGCTCCAGCCCTGGAAGTGTCCAAGGCCAGGTTGGACAGGGCTTGGAGCAACCTGGGCTAGGGGAAGGTGTCCCTGCCCATGGCAGGGGGTGGGATGAGATGGGGTTTAAAGTCCCTCCCAAACAATTCATGGCATTCTGTGATTCTTACTACTAACTGTCTTAATCTGGCAAAAAACCTACCTGCAAGACTGGAAACAATTTCCAGGACCAAAGTTCCTGTGTTTTGTACATGTCCTTATGTATTTGGGGATAAGCAGAAGCCAGTTGAATGGTTCCCTTTCCCTGTAACCGGCATATTAAGAAAATAACAGCCTTTTCCCTAAAAAAGGTCTCACTATCCAAATGCAGAATCACACAAAAATGAGTGGATTTGGCATTAAATATAATTTATAACTCTTTTTGATGTGAAATTAAAGGCTTTATAATTAGCCCTGTTGTGACAAGGTCACTGCATCACTGAGTGTTTTACCAGCTGCTCTGATCAGATCTTTCCTCCCTGGCAGAAGGTAGAGGTGATTTCCTGCCTCAGTTTGATCACTACCCTTCACCTTGGATTCAAAATACGAATTACAAAGTATAAATATTTGATTTCCTTTCATTGCAGAGAATTTAGCAAACCCTTGCTTCCTGTGGGAAGAGCCGGCGTCTTGCTTGCTGAAATCTTGCACCTTCTATGCAAACAAATGGTGAGTGTCCAGGAGCCCCTGGTGGGAGCTGGATGCAGCCTGTTCATGTCCGTGCATGAATCCTACACAGTTCCCACGTGGAGACGTTTAGGGATGGGCCAGCCAGTCCAGATAACTTAGCAAACCTGCCTCTGCACCCCCAGATCCCAACCGAGCCTTTCGAGGTTCCAAAAAGTCGAGTTAACGTTTTGTTTTCTCCCGACTTTTCCCTTTTGCAGGTACCTTTGCACCTGGCTTCTCCCAGAAGCTCAGAGTGCCTGAAATGCTGCAAGAGGGACATGCTCAAGGGATTTCTGGGCTGACCAGGAGCAGCAAGTGCCGGGAATCTGGCGAGAGAGCTGTTCTTGCAGACCGAGAGGTTCTCAGGGCTCGGATAAGCTTCCGATGGCCTCAGACTCCTGGGTGCTTATCCATACTAAACCTGCCGACTCCTGAGGTTCACCCATCACTAGGGGTAGTGACACCTCCTCACCCTGCGGCTCCAAGAGCTCACACACACCTCACAGTTGTGTGTCCAACCAGTTTGGTGGTTTCCCTATAACTCGTCTCCTTTTTTTGTCTTTTTTTTTTTAATCCAACAAAATCCTGCACTTTGGAGTGTGTCTATTTTCAACCCTGTAAAATCCCTCACTTGCCTTTTTTTATTTTTTCAAGCATGCATTCAAGTAAGGTTGAATGTTCCAGGAGCATTTCAGTCTAACAGTGCAAAGAGTGACTTTTTATTTTATCTATTTTAGTCTTGTTTGGAAGTCAACTTCCACTTACTTTTTTCTTATTCTGTGAAAGAAAAACTGCTGTGCTCCAGGGGTGAAAGCACAGCCTTGGGTTTCTGTTTCTGCCACAGTTTCTCATCTGACCTTGTCCAGGCCAAGACTTGGACTCGGGGATTTCAGTGTAATATCAGTCATCTAATCCAGATCCTGATGGATCAGAGCAGGAACTATGCACAGTTGGCTCTTAACAACCTGCACTGGGAACTGAAAATTGTAATCTGCTTTGTAAACTAAAAATCAGGCTGAGCTCATCAGTGCGTGGCTCGGGCTACAGAGTGATCTCCTGTGTGCAGGTGCTGGAAGGTCAAATTTTGGCAAAGCATTTGGGTGGAAAGAGCTGGTTGTTCTCAGCATTTTCATTCCTGTCAGAATTCTGTGTGTGCCCTCCGAGGCAGGGACTGAGGGGTCAGTGTGACACCAGGGGCTGTGCAAGGCTGAGCTGTCTGTGCTCCAGGGCATTTCTCAAAGTTTGCATAAATTCTAGGAATCAAAGAGAGAATTTGGGATTTTGTACCTGAATTTGAGGCTTGGGAAACAGCCATGTAAATTCAGGAACTTTCTCAAAGGAGCTGATTTGCTGGTGCCTTAATGTCAAGGCAGGGGGGGTGAGTCACAGAGTAAGTCAGGAGGAGGATCCAAGCCATCCAAGTGCCAGCTCCGTGTCAGGGCCGTGGGAACCTGCCCTTCCTGGTGCTCCTGGGGAGCTCTGGGAGTCGTCGTGAACCCCCCGTGTCACTTCTGCCTTGTTTACTCCCCGTCACGAGGCGTTTCCCACCTGCCAAGATGTGCATTCCTGGGGGGATTGCACATGTGATTCCTCCTGCACGGGCTCTCCGGACGCTCCGGGGTTTCTCCTGGCACAGCTGCACCACTCCAGCCCATGTGAGCTCTGGGCATCCTTTGGGTGTGTAAAATGAACAAACTGTTTGTGTTTCAGAGCCATAAGAAAGTGGGAGCCTTATGGAGGGAGTCTGGCCTCAGTTGGAAGGACTACTTGCCCGAAGGGGAGGATGTACATACCTTTCTCATGGAACAAGTGAGTTCAGGTCTTGGTTTTGGTCCCGTGTTTCTTCCTCTCCCATCCCATTCTTGCATGTAGCTGGGACATGGGGTGAAGTGTCCTCAGGCTGGGGTAGATGATTTCAGCACCTCCTTCTGGAGCACAGGGAGGACGGGTCTGTCCCCTCTGCTCCAGGCACACATCTCCCATCACCTAGCTTCCTCTGGGAGATCCTTCTCCAGCTGGGGAAAAAACCCCTCAGGAGTGAGTTTTGCGGCAAGGACAGAAAATCTGCAGAATGGCCACAATAAATGGTAGCAGTTAATTCACTCATCCCACCTTGGATTATGATCCCGGGGGAGCCAGGACTGATGGAGGCACCTCAGCTCTTACTGGTGCTGCTCCTCAGGAATGTGCCAGAGGTCTTGTCTCCCTTTGGAGCTCTGAGTGATCCACTGCCCTGTTTTAGCCTTAGGAAGTGCTGTGCTGCAGGAAGGGGAATGGATCACCATGGCCTGGTGAACCCCTGGGCCTTGCTGAGGGGAATATGGCTCCTCTGTCCCAGTTTGCAGGGAACTGGGGTGTTCTTTGAGCCAGTGCCAGCTCTGGTCGTTGCATTCCAGCTCCACATGCACTTGATTTTGTGTGTGTGCTCCAACAGTGAGGGGCTGGAGCTGCCCTGAGGTGCCTGGTTGTCTTTGCTGGATAATGTAGCCCCCATGTGTTTGTAAAATGCTTCCTAACCCTTGGAACAGAGAAAGTTTATATCCTTGTAACAATAACTGAGCAGCTGAGAGATACCAGGAAGCAGAATGAAGTGTAGTTTGCTGCTCAGTCTGGTGTAATTCTGCCTTAGGAAAGGACATTTCCCTGATTCTCATCCTCACTTGTCGTGTTGCAGAAGTTGGAGTTCACGGAGTCCGACTGTTCCAGTTCCTCAGAAGCACTTTCAGAGAAAGAACTCTCTGCAGAAGAGCTGAACAAGCAGCTGGAAAAACTCATTGTTGAGGACAAGGCGAATGATGAACAAATCTTTGACTGGGTAGAGGTACAAAGACGATTTTCACCCTCCCTGCACACTGTTCATTAACTGCTTTTATCATTATTTTCTGGTGTGAGGGATCATCTCTGTGGGCTCCCCTCGGAGTATAGGACACTGAGATGATTTGGTCTGTGCAATGAACACTTCTAAAGAATGAAAATCTAAAATATAATTAGCTATTTATGAGTCAGCTTTAGGAGGGAAGAATTTTAGCCATATTAACTGTCTAACTGCCTTTTAAATACTGTAGACTTTTCATCACTGAGTACCCTGCTTCTACCATTGGTACGTTTTAGACCATATCCTGCTACATTCCCAAAACAGGGGAGAAAAGCTTCTCCTTGCTTTTTTCCAACATAACCTCTTCAAATTTCCCTCTGCAAAAACATCCTGGGCAGTCACTGAGAGCACCTGTACCTTTCCTAGTGCATCAGACCAGGCACTGGAAGAGAAAACAAAAAAAAGTATAAAAAGAGGGGAGGAAAAGGGCCTGTCAACCCACTGATCTTTGCCCTCTGTCTCTAGCTGCATCCTTTAAGCCAGATATTTAGTGTCTGTAATTATACCCAACCTGATGCATTTAGATCTGTGCTTACCCTACATCTTGGTCAGCTGCAGTTCAGTGTTTTGTCTGGCAGAGCAGTGTGTTAGAAATGTCATTTTTCCACTGCTGTTCGAGGAGTCGAGAGTGGAACGAAAGCAGCACTGAAAATCTGGGATCACCCTCAGGCTCTTTGGAGCCTTGGACAAGTTCCACAGCCGTTCTCTCAGCTTCTGCTACAAAGCAAACAAACCTCCACCCAAGGAACAGGCCGTGAAGTTTGTTGGAAAAGCCCAAACCCCTTTGAAAGTGTGTAAGGGTGTTGTGAGCCCAGCACTGCCCGTTTGGTTCCTTGTGGGAGGTGTTAAACGCACTGATCCCAGGAGAACTGGTGGTGCCTGTTGACGTCCCTGAGGGAGTTTCAAGGAGTGAGTGGGAAAGCTGAATGCTTGCAGGGATGAACTGGGTTTGTGCTGCAGCAGCTGCTGCTGAGCTTGGACTTGCTGCCAGATTCAGCAGCAGGGTCTGGAAGCAGTGGCTCTGCTGCAGCAGCGTGTTTTTAACTGGTCCATTTGCTCTTTATTTCGGGCTAATCCATCTACTCTTGATTTCAGGCTAATCTAGATGAAAGCCAGATGAGTTCACCTACATTCCTTAGAGCTTTAATGACAGCAGTTTGTAAAGCAGCTATTATAGGTGAGTTACTTGCAGTGTAAAAAGAATTACTTGGTATTTTTCAGGTTTATATCACATTTCCCTCCCCAGGCTGTGTTTTATCACACACTAAGGATTCTGCTCAGAGCAGGGTGTCCCTTCCCCAGGGCATGTTGCCAGTTAAGGTGTTCCCAAGCCCTGGTGTGTCCAGGTGACCTTGTGTGAGCAGGTGTTTCAGACAACTCTGCGTAATTCCAGGTTGTTCATTGATTTTCCTAGTGGAGGTGGAAATGACTGAGACATTATTAAGGTAATTAGCATTTCCACTCCTGTGTCAGCACTTACACTGGGTGTTCCCCCCTGCAGCTGCCATGTGCCAGGGGCAGCGTGGGCTGCAGGAAGGAGCCAACCTGCAGCTCGGTCCTGTAAGAGTTTTATGTCCAAAGTTTCAGGTTTGGAAAGGTGGTTTATGTGGATTGTTAAATGTACAGCAGTCGGCTGGAAATGCAGGAAAGGGAGGGTTCCCACATTGGAACCTCAGACCCTCGGGGGGTTTGAGTAAAGTGCTGCAGGCAGAAACATCTGCTCAGTTCACTTGGTTTTCTTTAACTTTACTCTTGGCACCTGGCAAAGCAAAAAATGGTGCTTGGAAAGCGCCTGGTTCTGCTCTGAGCTGGGAGAGTTTGGAGAGAGAATGGGCTGGACTCCACCGTGTGAGGGAGGGGAGGGACAGCCCAGCTCCTTCCTCTGCCTGAGAACAGAACCTGCTCGTGCCACCTAGTGTTAGCAGGGATGTGGGATTTCATTGCCAGTGGTTAAGGGTTCCCTGATGTGTGTCAGGAACATCATCCTCTGGTTTAAATTTTGGCCTTACCCCTAACTGAGTTTTTTTCTTTTGTTTTCAAAATATCACTTCATTGTGTTGCATGATCTACTTCAGAACCACAGAGCATTCCAAGTTGGAAGGGACCCACAAGATTATCGAGCTGCTGAGTAATTTACCCATGTTGCTGATGGATTTCTAATGCATATTTTGTGTATATTCCTGATTCCTTTGTCATGTGCAGCTTATGATTCTTTTTCTGCCTTGGTATTTTTAGAAAAAAAAAATAGAATTTTCTAAAAACCTTCTAAACTTCTAAACCCAGAAACCCAGTTGCCTTTGGAAACACAACAATCTGCACTGCAGAGTAAGGCTGTGATTCTTCTGTGTGTGTTTAGGGCTGGGGGCCCTGCAGATACTGGAATTTGGGGGGCTGGAAGGACCAAGACTTCCAGAAAAAGCCATCGATCAGAAATACTTCCTGTTGTTTCTCATCCTCCTTTTCTCTCCACCTGTTTGTGATTTCTGTTTGAATAAATAAAGGCCAGGGAAGACCTGTCCCTGCTGTCCCTCCAAGGCTGACCCTGTTTTCCTCTCCTCCCTCAGCGGACTCTTCCAGCTTCCGTGTGGACACTGCTGTTATCAAGCAGAGAGTGCCCATCTTACTCAAGTACCTGGACTCAGACACAGAGAAGGAACTACAAGCACTTTATGCACTACAAGCATCAATAGTAAAACTTGATCAACCTCCTAGTAAGTGTTGCCTCTGTGCTGAGGATTTGAGCTCTGGCAGCATAAGGAAAGGGGGTTTCTGTGGGAGCAGAGGCTGGAAGAGGATGTGCTTTTCCTTACCTTATGTAACAGATAGGAAAAAATAGCATGGGGGGGTTTCAGGTTGTGCACATTCCAGCTTTTAGAGCAGTGCAGGTTCCCAAATGCTTGGCTGGAGGCCAGCTCTTCTCTTGGTAGCTCCTGTAAGCAGCTGTGCAGAAGGAAGGACAAACCCATGTCAAGGTAAAAAAGAGCAATAGAAAGTAACCTGAGGAGTTCACAGCACCTGAACATTGTAATTGCATTGCTGCTCCACAGATGTCTGTGGCCTTGGAGGGAATAAAATCAGTTGGACAACTGATGAGTCTTGTCCCAGAGATGCTGCAGAAAACTCCTGTGGGACAAGAGGCGAGGGATGTGCCAAAGAAACAGGGATTCCCAGGGAACGTGCAGCACAAAATCAGAGTGCCCCAAAACACCCAACAGGATCGTCCTTAGTGCCCTTTATGGCATTAGTTGGGTGTTTTCCCTCCTGCTGAGCCACAAAAATCCGGGGTTGGAGGGGAGCCAGGCTGTGTGGTCCAGAGGAGATGTGCTGCTGTGGGTGCTGCTGGCAGGCCAGTCTCTGGATAACGTGTTCCCACAGCTGTTTTCCCAGCTTCCCCTGTTCTCTGAGGGCTGTTTCCCCCTCCCCTGAGCAGCCAGGAGGCAATACCTGAGTAACAGCCCTTCCTTTTCCTTGTCTCCCCATCTCCTGTGCCGGGAGTTCATCCCCTCACCGTCCCCTTTGCCGCGCTCACGGCCGCTCTCTCCCGCTTTTCCCGCCTGCAGATTTGTTGCGGATGTTTTTCGATTGCCTGTATGACGAGGAGGTCATTTCGGAGGATGCCTTCTACAAGTGGGAGAGCAGCAAGGACCCGGCGGAGCAGAACGGCAAGGGAGTGGCGCTCAAATCCGTCACGGCGTTCTTCACGTGGCTACGGGAGGCCGAAGAGGAGTCGGAGGATAATTAAAACTTAAAATACAGATTTAAAACATTAAAAAAAAAAAAAAAAAAAAAAAAAAGAAACAATTTAAGTATTTTTTTAAAGAGTTTCACGTCTTCGCCAATCACAGTGCAGCAAGGCCAATTCTCTCTCTCGCAGACCCCCCTTGCCCCACACACGCACGAGTGGGAGAGGTAAAAACCCGATAAACACCGAGGTGATGATCATGGAGGCAAAAAGGTACTTGAAAAAAAAACAAAACAAAACAAAAACCACAAAAGTAAACTTCAAACCTGAGGGCGGGAGCACCAAACCAAAATACCTGTATTATTTATAGAAAATATTTTCTGTTTTAATCTTTTCCTTTTCTTTTTAAACAAGGACTCATACTTAGGAAAAAACACACAGCGAAACAAATCTGTTTAGCAAAAAAAAAAAAAAAAAAAAAGGTTGGAAACTTTTAATTTATTATTTTAAGGACTGCAAATGCCAGTGTAATTTTTAAATTTGCAGTTTCTGTAAACAAATTGTATAATAGAACAAAAGCAGAGAAATAAATTTCCCTCCCCTTCATACGCACCTCAGTTTTGTTTCAAAGCATGATAAATAGACAAAACTTTCAAGGGGGTTGGGGTGAGCTAGATGAGGACGAGATCAATTTTTTTTTTCTTTTTGAATTGTCATCAGATTTTTCTGCCTGCCTCTCAGCTTGCTTCAGAAATTTAAAAAGAAAATAGTAATCAAACCGTACATAACCTTGGATCGGAAGGAAATGCATTTGAGAAAACTGCTGCGGACCAGAGTGCTCCGAAAAATAACTCATTGAAAACAGTGCTACCCCGGGGAAAAAAAAAGTACTAGTGATACTTTGAGAAACTTTAGAGCAACTTTAAGGCTTGTAAATACAAAGAACAAATATTTAAAAAAAAAAAAAAAAAAAAAGAAAAAAAGAAATTGACTCAATACTATTTCTTTTCACTTTCAAAATATAAAGAACAAAATAAAGACAAACATTGCAAGTTTAAAAGAAAGTAAAACGACTTCTCCTTTGACAGCTGCTGAATGTGTGCACCATCCTGAGCGGTGCTTCCTTGGCGTGCCGTAGGTCCTCGGGCCCAAATTGTGTACATACAGTGTGTGTCTGTCTGTGTGACTACCAAAAATGAGGGGTGAGAGCAATTGTTGTGTTTAAAAAAAAAAAAAAAGAAAAAAGGGCAAAAAAAAAAAAAATAAGGGGGTTGCTGCCTGGGAGACCTTTTGTGCTGAGAGACCTCGCTGGCCGGGGAGCAGGGGGGTGTTGGTGCCCGAGGCTGGGAGGTGCCTCAGGCCGGTTGGTGCCCCATCCTGGCTTCTCCAGCTGTGGCTGCCCTGTCCCTCGTGTGACTTGGATCAGTGGCTTTGTCCGGGGACTTGGGGTATCCTGGGAGCTCTGGAGGTCTCAGCTGTGCGAGCAGGGACCCGACAGCCCTTCGTCGTGTCTGCGGCCGCCCCGCCGGCACCGCCCTTCGCCTCCTGTGCCTACGGAACCAGGGACCTGGACCAGGGGAGCCGAGGAGGAGGTGGAGGAGCGATGTGGTGCCCACCCCGTGTCGGTGTCCACGCTCCAAGCACAGCTGGTCACGGATCCACAGTGGCCGTCGCTCCGCAAGCGCCGTGGGAGCACATTCCACGCGGCCCCGATGCTGCTCCAGACTGAGCTGCCGAGCACGGAGGTCTCTCGTGTCTCTCTTCAACCACCAAAGATGACCTGCTGGCTCTCACTGTGAAAGAAGCACCATCAAACACTCTGCAAACGCTGGTGAAGCCCTAAAACGTGGTCTGTGAACTGTGGTCCGTGGACCACGTGTAACCTGTGGAGCATTTGCTGGGGATCTGTGCAGCGCTGGCTGCTTGTGTGATGCTGACTTTTTCTTTCCAGCTGCTAAATCACTTCTTTTTTTTTAGAAAAAAAAAAAAAAGAAAAAAACAGGAAAAAAACAAGGAAAAAATAGGCTACAAATACATTAAATACTTTCCTAATCTTACTTTTACATGTAAACAACTGCTGTACTTGCCTGAGGATGTGATTTGATCACCACGGGGAAGGGAGGAGGTGCCTGGTTGTGGCTGGAGGGGAGATGTCCACGAGACACTTTCCCTGTTAACGTGTTCCATGCCATGAATCTGAGCTAGAGAATCCATGGCCTAAAACACTAGAGCATTGTTTGGTTATTTTTTTTTAGTAACAATAAAACACTTTTCTCTGATGTTTTGTTAAAAAAAAAAAATATTCTCACATACATGTATCTGTGTGTACCACATCCAGTGTCCTCTCCAGCCTCACAGCTGGGGCCAGAGGTTTGGATGGGCCCTCAGGATCTCCAAAAAGCTCATCCCCATGGAACCCCCACCCAGTGGGGCTCCGGGTGTGCCTGTTAAACCTCCACAGAAGGTCATCTGGGTGCTCTTCTTCCAAAAGGCATTTTTTGAACCGTACGTGGTGGTTTGTAGCAGTTAAATAGTTGAGTTAAATGGATGAGAGTTTGTATGTAAAGGAGGCCAAATATCTGCTGAGTTGGTGTAGGCACCTGATGGAATTCCTGTTAGGATGGGCAGAACCTGCTGGGAATGAGCGTTGTGGCAGCAGAGCCCTGCAAGGACTGTGGTTTGTGTGTCAATTCCCATGGATTGGAAGGGAAGAACTTGCTGTGGAGCCTTTGAACAGCTCTGTGAATCCAGGTGTGTCAGGGCAGGGAAATCTGTCTGGGGAGCCTTCTGGCTGAAAGCATTGGAAAACCACTGGATGGAGGGAATGGGAATGGTGAGCAGGTGGGTGGAGGTGAGGTGAGACAGTCTCTCCTCTCCTTGTTGGAGCCTTTAATGTGTGATGTTCTTGGGTGAGAACTTCCTCTTAGTGTCCTGCAAAGGCCAGGAAGGGACTTTGCAGGTGGGTTTTTTCCAGGATTACCCAAAGGTAGGTTTCCACCGTGGCAAGTTTTGGGTTCTCTGAAGCTGCACGTGGGGTGCTGTGAGCAGCTCATGCACCAGCCCTTGAGGTCTCCAGCTGTGAGTGTGTCACCTTGAGCTTCAGCTTCCCACAGCTGTCACTGCAAGGAGCAGAACTCCTGACTCCTTCCTCTGCTCCCCTCGTGCTCTTTGCCACGGGCCACGTGCTTCCCTGCACCAGTACCAAGGTGTGGGTGCTTTCCAGTTTCCTTCTAGATCAGCACAGGTTTGCAGGTGGCTGTGGCCCATGGTCCTGGAAAATCTTCATAATCTGCTTCCTCTGAAGGGTATTAAAATACAAAAAACCCTTTAAGATACATGAAATAGAAAAGGGAATTGCCAATTAAAAAAGTTTCCCTTGGAAATGTGATTTGCAGGAGCCTCATTTTGGGTAAGTGAGGAGGGGTGAGCTGTGGATACTCTGACCTACCTTACAGCAAAGCCTCTGCAGGGAGGAGAGATTTCCCCCAAGAATACTGCAGGTTTGGAGTGGGTTGGGTTTTTTCTCCTAATCTTGATTCTGTTTAAACACAATCTTGTGTGCAGGCTCCTGAACATGGCCGGGAGTTAATGCAGCCTGTCAGGGAAGAGCAGCATCAGAACCATTCCCACTGCTGGGAGCCCTTGTGCCGAGGCTGGGGCGCTGTCAGAGGAGGAGCAGATGCATCACTTACATCCCTGTTTATTGCTGAAAGTGTCCTCAAATCTGAAGCAGCCAAACAGTACATTTGCAGGTGTCTGCCTAAGGCTGGCTTCTTTCTAGGAAAGTGTTTTGAGAAAGGGTTGAGCCATTTCTGCAAATGAGGTCAGGGAAGGCACCGACACAGACACTGTGCTCTGTCTGCTTGTACCAACGCGTTCAGGTTGTACCTTCATTTCTGAGAAAGCCTCGGGTCCAGGAGCAGACCGTGGTGGGTGGAAAAATCTTTTCATAGAACCATAAAATCACAGAATATGCTGAGTTGAAGGGACCCATCAGGATCATCGAGTTCAACTCCTGGGGTGTTTTTTGCCTGGGATCAGCCCTCCCTGGTGCAGGAGCTGATAACCAGAGAGCCCACATGGCAGGAGAGGCTCAGGAGAAGGAATTCCTCTGCAAAGATGGTTTTTAGTGTGCACAAGGCAGGTTTAAGCCAGTAGTAACTTAAAGCAGTCGTTGATGCAACCCAGAGAGCTTTTTGTTCCAACCCTATAGACTGTTTTTACTGATAAAGGGAATACACGGCCTCTAAAAAGTCCCCTTAACTCGCTGAGCATCCTGAAAACATTTAAAGCCAATTGCAGATGTGGCATCTTTTTGCCAAAGGATGGCTCTGATCGTTCCTGCTGCGTTTCATTCCATCATGAGTTGTTTGTGCAGAGGGACCTGAAGCTGGGTGCTTTGTCAGAAGCAGAGCAGAGAAGCTGTTAGCCCAGCCTGCAGGCTTGGCTTGTTTCAAGCTGCCAGAGAGTTTAACTTTGGGGGCAGGAAGCTCAGAATCAGACCCCCCCAAAATGCTTTTGTGCCCTTAGATCCAACACCTCTGGTCCTGAGACACTGAACCACCTTGAGGAGAGCTGGTGGTCTGTCCCTGATGGTGGTGAGATGCTGCGAGGTTGGAGCTGGGTCAGGAATGCCGGGCTCTACGTGGGAGGTGCTACAGCTGGCAAGAGCTTTGAGCTCCCACCTCTCCCGGTGGGGCTGGTGGGGAGAGCTCGGCCTTCCTGCTCTTTGGGAGGTGTTGGCCTGGAAGCTGCTCCCTGGGCCCAGGCCAGCTGAGCAGCATCTGCAGCGTCAGCAGGAGCAGGAGCTCTTCGCACGCCACTGGCTTTTCATGAGGTGCCAACCCGGAGTTTGCACAAGATCCCGCTCGCCCAGAGAAACTCCAGCGGCTCCCGGTGCCTGGGGGCCACGTGCAAGCTGCAACAGCCACGGGATGGAGCCTGGGGAAGAGGAGCCTTCAGCCCAAAGGATTCTGCTTGGCTGTCTGTGCATAGATAACCTGCAAGAAGCTGCTGCAGGAGAACCAGTGATGGGCAAAGGACCCACAGCAAGAGACTGATTAACCCGCTGGGCTTCCAGCAGTGTGACTAAACCCCAACAGCCGAGCACATTTAGTTGTCTACCCTCATATGTTCCAAGGGGCTCCACTTGCCACCTGGGGTAACCATCATGGAACTGTGGTTTGCTGAACAAACTCCTCTTATTTGAATGCTGCCGTAGGGATGCTGACTGTGGAGAGCTTTGTCATGTGGCACCAGCTTCCCTTCCTTGTTTCCAGCTGCTAAATTGCGCTGAAACTGCAGCAGAAATAAAACCAGCTCCCACTCCATTCAGTCCTTTCCAAAGGGAATTGGTCCAAGTTGCTGGCCCAGCTACAGGGATGGTTGTGCTGTGACTGCAAATGGGAAAGGGAGAGGGGGTGTGGGGAAGGCAATGGATGCTTAGTTGGGAGATCTTTGTGTTACTGAGGGAGTGGAGAGAACGGTGAAGCTCTTGGCTGTCCCCTTGCAGCCCCCTGCAAAGGTTAATGGCAGATCTCACTGAGCTCCTGAGGTGCAGACCATTAGTGAAGGTGGAGCAGAGCACTGTTAGAGGGGGTTTATCACAGCTTTTTGGAGGACAGCTGGAAGGGGCTGCAAAGATCATCTCAGTGGATGTCGCCGGTACCTTCAGGTCTCACCCCTGAAGGGAAATGGGTCATTTCAGCATTGCAGGGTGAGCTGTTCTGAAATAACACCTGGTGTGAATGCTCTGTACTGTTAGAGATGGCATAAAGTGAAAAATCCATCGCTGCAGGCCACTTCCCACTCATGTGTGAGTGCAGGGAAACAGCCAACTTCACCAAAAGTGCTGGTCTGCAAAGGGAGCGGGCACTCAGCCCGCAGAGCTCCACAGGGACGTGGAGCTGTGTGAATTCATGGAGAGAGACACAGCACACAGCTCTGCTCTCCTGCCTCACAGCCCTGACTGGGGTGTTCTCACACACCGGGGGCAGAAAAACAGGGAATTTCACACATTCCCACAAAAGGGGAGTCAAGCATTTTTCCCGCCCTCCAAGGAAACACATCAGACTCTCCAGGGCCCCTCCAGCACCACGGGGTGGATGTTCTGAGCAGGAGCCTGAGCTGCAGGGGACACGTCTCAAAGGAAAACCAATTAAGACTTCCCAGAGCAACAAGTGGTCCAGCTCTAGAGCTGACCATACACTTCCAGCAAGAGCCAGCACCAAAAAAGCTCTTCCATTCC